GTATTTTCTCTCTCCACTAGCATCTCTTATCTTGAACAACAAAATCACTCCAGGAAGATTGACCGTGCTATATAATATTAATAAAACGTAAAATGCTTTATAACATCTGCTCAACATGTCGGAACAGGTCGGATCAGTGACCCATAAAAAATCTTCTGACTTTCATGGTGGAATTCGATTTCAATCGAGTTTTACAATCAGATGGGAACTTGAAGATAAAAACTTCCTCAAAATAGACATTATCTGTTTAGATGACAGTTTAAAGTATCGGATTATGGCGATTAAAACAAATGAAAACTTCATACCTTTCTCCAACAACGTGACTTTCAGGAAGCCTCGAGGGACGGACTTGGTAACTGCTTCTGAATTGATACCAGGCTTCTGTCGGTCAAAGTCAAATGTCCCGACAGCGGGGATAGTCCCAGGCATCAAATCCCTCCCTTGCCCGCCTCCCCCCTACGGGATTTACATTGATAGGTGCATTACTCGAAGAACAAACAAAAGCAAATATATAAAAACGACGTGGGACTTGCAAAAAATGACCAAGATTTTTTGGACAATTATGGCACAACACGACACATGCACAGTTCATATCGTGTATGAAGCACATTCAATAGTCCTTTTTTTTTAATGTGTGTCGTTTGTTACTTTTTCATTGTTTTATATGTTTAACACAGAAATCGTTCATGCATTGATGGCTTGCAATGCTGGCACAGAACTGACCTGTATCAGTAATATTGAGGAACATGTCAAACTACAGAACATGCCCGTACTATCTTACATTCTACAAAGGTGGGTTTAATGCCGAAGAATTTGTACTGAGCTGTATTCTAATATATATATTTAGCCAAGCCTAAAAGCGGAGCTTCCGGTTTCATTACAATAATAATAATGATGATGATGATCGTTTTGTTCACACTCGTGCACAATACGATATAACCTAGTTGTAAATACTGATACCGGCCAGTCGGATACCAGCCAGATCGGTGGGGTATGCGTAGTTCAGATGTTGAAGCTGCCTAACCCTAACCCCAACCCCTATGTCTGCTTTTTCTTATTATTGGGCTACCTGTGGCAAATCCTTATCTAGTTATGGTACACTACTAAAGGATGGCTCAAGCGGCTGTGGGTGAGAGATTTTTTATCACTCTTAAAGGGCTCCTACCCTTGTATAGCCAGCGTGTATACTCTTGACTCACGGATTGAGGGGTAGAAGGGAAAGAGAGATAGCTTCCTTTTTTCCCTTCCTTTCGTCCAGATCTCACCCACAGGCTAACCCATATTCTTCAAATCAGACTTAACCTTGTGTGTAATTCTGGATCTGCAAGACCTGGTATTATTATATTGCTGAATCCTCGAGCAGGCGAGATGAAGTAAATCCTGCGTTCTGATTGGCTACCCGCGCGGGTAAGATGGGCCCATCTTTCCCGCTCAGGATATCCCGCGTTTGGTCCCGCAAAGAATAGGTTTCTTGTTAACCATACAATAAATCCCTTATTGACCAAGCTTCTTCGGTCAATATGGCTGTATGTTAACCTCTTTCTTTTATTGCGTTTTTATTGACCTCGACTTCGTCCCGGTCAATAAAAACGCAAAGAAGAACTTGGCCAATATCCAGCCATATTGACCTCACGCTTGGTTAATAACGCATATCTTTGTGTGTGAAAGGTGGATTCTACTGTTACCGGTCGTTTTGATACAAAGTCATTTCGGTACAAGGCTTTTCGATACAAGTTTACTCACTCGAGCTGAAAGTAGTTGCACCTCCTTGGCTTAAAGAACGAAGAAAATTTACCCAAAATGTTTTTCTTGTTCATGCGCAAATTATTCTGGAAGAGAACGTGCAATTTACTGCTTAAGTTCGTGTCGAAACGACTTGTATCGAAATGACTGGTTACCGATTCTTTTACCCTGGAATTTTGTAAAGCCCAAGTGTAGTGTGACTAAACCTGGGAACAGGAACGTCAAAACAAAAGTACTATGTAGAATGCATAGTTTGTTTTCTTGTGATCATGTTGCAGAGAGCAGACAGTAGAACCAAACGTACGAACCGCATCTCGAACGTCATCCTTTGTTCCCCCGATGTTAACAACTTGCAGTAACCAACTGGATCTTCCATCAGAAGTAACGGTAATTCAGCTTCATTTACTTCCTGTTGTTGTCATGTCTTTAATTGTTTCGGCATAGTTTTACAATGAGTCTCTTTCTTTTGTTCTGTTTGCATGCAGGAAAGCTTAGCAGAGGAAATGATTGCTCGGTTTGATTTAAACAAGGTACGTCTCGAATGCTTACTTTCCATATTACCATCAACATCATAATATTATTTATATCAAGAGTGTGCTTTTTTTTAGTTATTAGAGATGCAGATCTTTTCTCTTTTCTTTTTTCGTAAGCAGCATCATTCTTAGTTATCTCCTGATAAATTAAAAAAAGAATGAACACAGTGCTCTAGAGCCTCAACTCTGTCTTCGTGGAGCTGCATGCAAAACGCGCAAGAAAAACGTGCAAAACGAGTTGAATAGCGATGTGTGCCTTTTACCACCCACGAATCAATCCTGTCAGGCAACAAATCAGAGAAAACGTTCTGATTTTGTGTTTTATTCATATCTATAAGACAGTACATTTACAGCCGTTGAAAGGAAATGCAAAGGTAGGGATGTGAAAGGGGTACCATTGCTCGATAGAGGGTACACGAAGGGGGTGCTTCTTCTCTCAAAAGTGCCTTATAAAAGGGTAAGGAGTTGGACCTCGGAGCGGAGCCTCCCCGAAGAAAACTTTGCCCAGTACCCCCCGGGTATGGGAACATAGGATACTGAGTGGTTACCGAGGTTCAGTCATTTTTTCGTCATTCTAGGACCAAGCAACCGCTCTTCTGTCATGTGCAAGAATGTTCAACTCGTCAGTGGATATAACTTCTCCCTCCCCGCCAGTTTGTTTGATTCACGGTGAGTTCACACTTGTACTTCATTTCGCCTTCTTGCTTTCCCATTTCCTATGTCCTTTTTTTTGGTTTAGTTATGTCTGGAATGACTTGTCAGCTGACAATTTGATTAACCATAAACGACTGTTAAACTGTGACAATAGACTGATTGGAACGCACCAATGACATTACGAGTCTTCATAGCCAATGACATCACGGCTTAACTGACAGGAGGTCAATAACATCGCGACTTAATTGACCAATCAGGTCAATGACGAGAGTTTAATACCATCAATTGACGTGATACAAGTTTCTTTGACTCTGAAGATGACTACCGCACAGGTTGTCGAAACGTTAGTTACTGTCATAAACAGTCCTATCCAGGACTATGTTCACCCGGACGATCATACTCAAACTACTTTTGAAATGACTCCTGGGTTCAAACCTTTCACAGTTTAACAATTTTTTCTCAGTATTTCCCCAAAATTATCCTACTTTTGTTTTTGTTTACCATTAGGAGTATTTGGCGCAGGAAAAAGCTTTCTTCTTGCCGTCGCTGTTCTATATCTAGTAGAGTTATTTAAAGTCAGCGATTCTCTCAATAACCAGAGGTATGGTTAACCTACTTGTATGTGATGAGTCTCCTTTAATTCCTTTTGAGAAGTATCGTGGCTATATCCTTCATCGAAATTAAGGCGCCTGGCCCCGGTTGTTCAAACGTTGGATAGTGCTATCCACCGGATAAATCACTATCCAGCGGATAAGTATTAATAATGGTAATTGAACTAAGTGGAGTGCAATTTGGTCTGAAATCATACGCGTGATTTCAAAATCGAACGAGCGCGCAGCGCGAGTTTGATTTGAAATCACAAGTATGATTTCAGACCAAAATTGCACGACACGAAGTTCAATTACCACTTTATTACATCCACTTTGAAATCGCAGAATTTAGTCAGTACTAATATTTTATTGATCGAGTAGCCGGTTTGTTAAAAAGCCGAAACAAAAAGGCTTTTACATCTCATTTTGTATTTGAAACAGAAATGATGCAATATATAGAACAAAAATGGTGCGATTTAAAACACAAATGATGCGATTTAGAACATGAATGACGCGATTTGGAACAGATGCGATTTAGCGCAAAAAATGGTGCGATTTAGGAATAAATCACACTGCTGAGAGCCAATCAGATTGCACGGATAACCAATGATTTCAAAGTGGATGTAATAAGGGAAACTAATTGCACTATCCACTGGATAATGATTTATCCACTGGATAGCGCTATCCAACGTTTGAACAACCTGGGCCTGGTTATTTAAATTCTCATGCTGTCTCTCTTGAGGAAGTTGGAAGCGATTGGAGCCAAGACTTGCTCCCTCAGAAGAACTTATTCGGCCCATTCAAAGACTCGCTGGTCTCTCTTGGCTTCAATTCAGTTCAGGGACACTTAAAATAATCCTAAATCAGTGCTATAAATCTTTTACTTACCTAAACGAGCACAGCAAGAACAGGTCCTGTGAATTTACAATAAGACCATCTAGCCTAAGCGAACCAGTGACGCACAAGAGGTCATTTTTTCGTAGATGTTAACTTGATAGAGTCAATTCTGTCTTAACGGGCACCTTTTTTAAGGTGGATTTCCACTGTGACGTATTTTTACGTTCGTTCGCGCGTACTCAGGCAAAAATCACGTGACAGTGGAAATCCACCCTCAAAGGACACCTCCCTGAAAGGCTCGCCAACAGTTACTCAGGGGTGATATGGTTGTGCGAATGCGTAAGGTAATGGCCATACCGCAGAGTTGGTACGTGTGCTTCAGTGTTAAAATTGGTACAGTTACTCCCTCTGATTATTCAGCCATCTTCTTCGATTCCAGAAGACGGACTCCTCTCTAACGCGTACTCTATATGCGGTTACCAAGGGTGTCCTTCTTAGAGAGTAGTATAAAGAAAACCAGCATTTCAGTGATATAATATCTTGCTTTTTGTTCTTCAACAGTACTACTCAATCTCAGCTAAAGATTCTGGTTTCCTCAACAACAAACGTCGTTGTGGATCGGATTCTATTAGGGTAAGACTTAGCATCCCTTCTGGTCAGCTTCATTTAACATAGCTTCTGGACAGGATCGTTTTCTTAACAGGTCGATGCGTTTCGGGTCACTTGGTCCGAGCGTTCGCCCGTTCGCCTCGAATACGTCACCGAAGTGAATTGACCGAGAGGGACTGGGGAAACCCCGTACAGGGACTATATAACACTTACTTAACAGTTACAAGTTTTCAAAAAGGTGAATTTTAGGCCCAAAGTGATACTCCCATACAAGATGCTGTTATCATTGTGGCTGTCTCATGACTGAGGCTTAGCACAGTAAAGCAGAAACTTGCAAGCCTCACTTCGTAATATGTTGTACGGTGTGGTGGGGAGGGGGAATATGAGGGAGTAGCTTATTTCCGGAAGCCCGGAAGCTTGTCGGTGGAGAATAAATGTTAAGCTGTTAGCTGACAAGAGGGGCTCACGATCATCGGGGAAGGAATTGCTATAATTGGACTTTCGTTTTCGTTTGCATCTTAATAAGCAGGATAATTAATTGGGAGCTTAAGCAACAAGGATCAATTTAGGGTTCTGGAAAACTGCCCACCTACCCCTCCCCTAGGCCATCATTTTGCCCTAAGTGGGAAGTAAGTGTTAATGTTAGCTTAGGGAAGGGGTGGGTGGGCAGTTTCCCAGAAACCTAAATTGAGCAACGACGACGACGACGACGGCATCTTTACCGGCACCGCGTGACTACGAAGTCAAAGTGCCTAAGTTCACGTTTTGTGTAGAACGTGAAGACGAGTCGAAGAGTTTCTTTTTATTTCCTGAACTTTGATACAGTCTTTTAGAATTCAACGCCAGAACAATTTGCTAACATTTGACGAATTGAACGAGATGGAACAAGCGCGAAAAATTTTGATGCAGCGCGAATTCACTTTTTAAGCGACGTTTTCGTAGCCGTTGCTGTTGTTGTTGCCTAAGCTCCCTAACTGGCGATAAAAGAAGGGCATATTACAGAAAGCTGAAAACATGCGGGTGAAGCCACTTAGAGCAAAAAAGAATGAAGCTTATACATATATCGGTAATTTATAATCATTTAATGATTTATACCCGTACAGACTGTTGGAATTGGGTTTCGATGAATTTGTTCGAGTGGGCAGCATTCGTAAAATCGCCAAACCAGTGTTACCTTACAGTGTGCACAGTACAGGAAGCGATAGTCAAGAACTGAAGGAACTTCAATCTTTACTCAAAACTGAACTGACACCATCCGAAAGAACGTGAGTACTCCGACACTAGTAGAAGATTTGAACTCTATTAGAAAAGTAGACCCAATCGTCGTCGACTATGGTCATAGTCAAATGTATTGAAAGGTTGATACTCTTCACCTTTTATAATTGTCTCTCCCCACCCCCCTGCAACAATAGACTGATTTAGCAACAGAAAGGGAACGTCAGTTGACGACAGCGCGCGCTAGTCAAACAACTGGCTTGACCAATGGGTGAGCGGCAAATTGGGCACCGGAAGTCGAGTTTAGTCCTTTCCGCGCACTTTCCCGTCGACAAATGACGTTCCCGTTCTAGTGCTAAATCAGCCTAATTTTGTACTTAACTGTACTCTTCAATGCGCATGTGATCTGTGATGTTCCAACATTGAAAAAGCGTTGGGGGGGCGATGAGAATACTTGAACAAATAACAACCTTTCCGTCCACTTTTGTAAAGATTGTACTCTTTTGAATTTTTTTCCACTTTGTTTTTTATTCTAGCTACGTTCGAAAGAGCATTGAACGACATAAGTTAGGAGAAAATAAAAAGGTGAGAACAACAAATAAAAACGCAATTCAATTGTATATCTCTCTTCGATAACAATGGTAGTCGTTGGTCGCAATGACCTGACCGTTTTTGAACCCACAAATATTGGAAGCGTTTTGGTGAAAGAGGGTCGGTCGTCCACAACTTCCCGACTGGCTCGCCTGGCTCTCGGCTGGCTCTCGTGTTCCAGCACTCATGTGATGATATTAGTACACCACGTTTATCAAATAGCGCTTTCTACTTTGATGAAGGTGTAAATTTCTGATGTTAGTTGTTCCCTTTTGTTGTCTTAACAACCCATTCTTGACTTGAAAACTTGGAAGTGTCTAGTTGTGCAAAATCTTGTTGTTTCTCTTTCTTTTTCAGAAATTATCTCAGGTTCGAGTGGTGGGTGTCACGTGTGCTGCCTGTGTGTTTCCTTGCCTGGATAAGTTGAAGTTTCAAGTATGTTGAGTGGCTAACTATATTAGAAACCTTTTGATTCTGAGACGAGAACGACTAATAGTAAATAGTACTCACGCGTGAATCGGCTTCATTTTGGCGGGAAAACGTGAAAGTCATCGTCATTCTACTGCGAGTTTTAGCTAGAATGCCGTAGTGGGGGAAACAAGATATCAAGTCGTGGAATTTTTATCATTTTACGATTTGGAGAAAGTTTAACCTCCTTCAATAAAAATGACTGTGCTAACTTTTCTGGTGAAAAAAGTACAATGTAGCTTTTCGGGTCGATATATTTTTTGAGAATACGGGAAAAATCTTTTAGTCAAATCTCGTTCTCGCCCTCGAATCTAAAGGTCTCTGTTATCTCAGTTATGACTGAATACGAAGCCCTTAGGGGAACGTTTGTTCAAAAGCCTCTTTTCAAAGGTAGAACGTTCGTGAGACTTCGTGATGAAGTGTAAAACCTGGTCAGCCAAACACATTCTTATCTCATCGTTATATCAAAGATTTGTCTAGAAACTGTCTACAGCTGATGTGAGATGTCTTGACATTTTAAGAAGGGTTTAAACTCGATGGTCTTGTTCTGAAAAGATAGAATTTGTTTGATCCGCTCTCTTAACTTCTTCTAACCCTGCGCTTGCGCAGTTTATCTGCTTTTTTTTAATGATGCGCTTGGAGCACCATGGGTACGAAAAACTGATATGTATCCCTTCCGCAAAATTTTGGTTGTCACGTGGCCGTCCCTGCGTGCCTTCGTCCAAACATTTGTCACACAGGGTAACCAATCTGCTATGGCAGGTCCACTTACCCAGACATGCTAAGTTATTTAGAGAATATTGTTAGGATTTGACTTGTCATTATCTTATCATATTAATCATATTTATGTAACTGACAGATTCTACTCCTGGATGAATGCAGTCAAATGACAGAGCCAGCCTCTCTTCTACCCATGGCCAGGTGATGATCTCAAACAAATCTTTGATCTTTATCCATATCCTAGATGGACGACAAAGAAAATGAAATTTCCACTTTTAAAGTGGAAACTTACTGAATGTATTTCGTCTGCGTGTGGCTCTTGTGGTTAATCCACGTTTTCAATGACAGTTTTTCGTTCCATTTAGATTTGAATGTCAGAAACTTGTCCTGGTTGGTGACCCAAAAGTAAGTAGATTGAATAACTTGTTCTACGGGAGGGGCACGGGGGACCCGGCCTTCCCCCCCCCCTATTTTAGCCCAAACTGAGGCCCGAAGGACCGAAAAAATTTTTGACACCGCCCTCCCCCTTATCCTAGGGTCTGGATGACCCCCCCCCCCCCGCCCCTTATCTGAAGGTCTGGATCCGTCACTGTTCGGTAACCATCCGATAAAGGCTGTCATCCTTCACTCTATCCAGCATTCCCGCTCGAGGTCCTCCCGGGGGCCTCTTCCCTATTCTATTCTCCCCTCAATCACTTACAGGACAAGATCACCATGCCGTAGGCTATGACCAAGCCAGACTCTGTCTTCTTTTGATAACAGATGCCCTCTACTCACCGACACGCCTCAATACTTCTTTGTTACAGACTTTGTCAGACTAAGAAATGTTTAAGACCTTCCTCCGTATATAGCTTTATTATAAGCAGGTCAAACTCTCCTGTCCAAATCTAAGTTGCATGCATGTCTCCTATTGCAGAAGTATTTCGCAATGAAGATTAACCTTGACTTTTCTTATTTCTCTATCAATTCATTTGTCTTGGCCTCTTTTGAAACCTCAGTTTCCTCAGGCAATCTCTAGTTTTTCTCTTTCTTTGTTGGTTCAGTCGCGTTCTAAACGGTAATTCTTCCTGAAAGAGAAGTTGATATAGAGAGACGTTTTGAGCACAAATGTCTGAATAGTGTAAATACAATAATTATCCTGACCTTGTTCTTATCTAGCAATTGAGTCCTACGATTCAAGGTTCGGAGCCTGAACACGAAGCTGGCCTTGAACAAACTTTGTTTGATCGACTTATGAAGATGGTAAGTTTACCTGGATGGCGTAGAAAATAATATACAGGCTTAACACAGCTATGAAAATCCAGTGTCGGTAACCTAATAATATCAATCAAAAAACAGAGCCTGTGCTTATCAATAACGCAACAGTCAAACACAATACAGATCACGCGCGTATCACAAACGAAAAATTGAGCACGCTCTTATCAAACACCAGTTGAGGAGCTGCAAACATTTCAACCATTTTACTAATAAACAGTTACGACTTATCGGTATTTCGAGTAAAAATACCGCCAGCTCTCCCCTTTAGAACACAAAATAGACCGCGCGCTTATTACTAACGTAACAATTAAAGGAAAGAACAGCATGTGCTTAACACTAAATAAACCATCAAACACAAAATAGAGCTTGCGCCTATCACTAACACAACAATCAAACTCAAACACAGCGTGCTGTATCACTAACGTAACATACGAATACAAAACAGAGCGTGCGCTTATTACTAACGTAGCAATAAAGTACAAATAAAGGGTGCCCTTCTCACTAACCTAACAATCAAACACAAACACAGCGTACCTCATCACTAACGTAGCAACAAAGTACAAATATAGTTTGGACTTCTCACTAACGTAACAGTCAAACACAAACACAGCTTGCTTCATTGCTAACGTAGCAATGAAGTAAAAATACAATGTACGCTTATCACTAACATAGGAATCAAATGCAAAACAGAGGGTGCCTTTATCACTAACGTCACAATAAAGTACGAATATAATGCGCGCTTCTCAGTAGCGTAACGATAAAACACAAAACAGAGCGTGTGCTTATCACTAACGTAGCAATAAAGTACAAAACTAGCGTGCGCTTATTACAAACGTTACAATAAAGCACAAAACATACCGTGCCCTTATCACTAACGTGACAAATATAGAGGTACAAATATAGTTTGCCCTTTTTACTCAGGTAACTATAAAGTACAAATATAGTGTGCGCTTCTCAATTACGTTACAATCAAACACAAAACAGAGCGTGCATTAATCACTAACGTAACAGTGTAGCTTATATAGTGTGTGGTTATCACCAACGTAAACATGAAATACAAAACAGAGCGTGCGCTTATCACCAACGTCATAGTGTAGAACAAATATACTGTGCGCTTCTCACTCATGTAACAATAAAACAAAAAATAGAGCGCACGGTTATCACTGTTGTACCACTGAAATAAAGTACAAATAAAGTGTGCGCTTCTTACTAACGTAAAAATAATAAAGCACAAAACAAAGCCTTCGCTTATCACTAACGTACCAATAAACTACAACTATATTGTGCGCTTATTAGTAACCTAACAATCAAATACAAAACAGAGCGTGCGCGTATCACTAAGGTAGCATTAAAGTACAAATATAGTGCGCGCGTATCAATAACGCAGCAATCAAATAAAAACACAGCGTGCTTTATCACTAATGTAACAATGAAGTACAGATATAGTGTACAGTTTTCACTAAGGTTACAATCAAACAGCAACACAGCTTGCTTTATTGCTAACGTAGTAATAAATTACAAATAATATGTTACCTTATCATAACAATCAAATACGAAACAGAGCGTGTGCTTATCACTTACGTAGAAATGAAGTACCAATTTAGTTTGCGCTTATCACTAAAGTAACAATAAAATAGAAAACAGAGCGTGCGCTTATCACTATTGTAACAATGTAGTACAAATATAGTGTGCGCTTATCAATAATGCAAAAAAACAAGTACAAAACAGAGCGTGCGCTTATCACTATTGTAACAATGTAGTACAAATAATTATAGTGTGCGCTTATCAATAATGCAAAAAACAAATACAAAACAGAGCGTGCGCTTATCACTATTGTAACAATGTAGTACAAATAATTATAGTGTGCGCTTATCAATAGTGCAAAAAACAAATACAAAACAGAGCGTGCGCTTATCACTAATGTAACAATGTAGTACAAATATAGTGTGCGCTTATCAATAATGCAAAAAACAAGTACAAAACAGAGCATGCGCTTATCACTATTGTAACAATGTAGTACAAATATAGTGTGCGCTTATCAATAATGCAAAAAACAAGTACAAGACAGAACGTGCCCTTATCACTATTGTAACAATGTGGTACAAATATAGTGTGCGCTTATCAATAATGTAAAAAACAAATACAAAACAGAGCGTGCGCTTATCACTGAGGTAGCAATGAAGTACAAATATAGTGTGCACTTCTCAAACACAAAACAAAGTATGCGCTTATCACTAACGTTGCAATAAGTACAAACATAGTGAGCGCTTATCACTAACGTAACAATCAAGTACAAAACACAGATACAGTACAAATATAGTGCGCGCTTCTCACTAACGTAACTATAGAACACAAAACAGAGCGTGCGCTTATCACTAACGAAGCAATAAAGTACAAATATAGTGCCCGTTTATCACTAACGCAACAATAAAATTGAAAACAGAGCAAGCGCTTATCACTAACTTGTCAACGTACTACAAATATAGTGTGAGCTTATCACTAACGCTAAAATCAATTACAAAACAGAACGTGCGCTTATCACTGACGTAATGGTAAAGTACACATATAGTGTTCGCCTCCTACTAACCTAACAATAAAGCACAAAAACAGACCGTGGGCATATCACTAACCGTAACAATGTTCATCACTAACGTAACAATCAAATACAAAACACAGCGTGCGCTGATCACTGACGTAACAATGAAGGACAAACATAGTGTTCAATTACCATTAACGTTACACTCAAACACAAAACAGAGCGTGCGCTTATCACTGACGTAACAATCAAATAAAAGACAGAGCGTGCGCTTATCTCGAACTTAGCAATGTAGTACAAATATAGTGTGCTCTTCTTACTAACGCAACCATAAAACACAAAACAGATTGTCCACCTATCACTAGCGTAGCAATAAAGTACAAATATGGTGTGCGCTTATTACTAACCGTAACAATCACCTGACCAAAACATAGCGTGCGCTTATCACTAACGTGCAAATAAAGTACAAACATAGCGTGCGCTTATCAGTAACGTTACAATCATATACAAAACAGAGCGTGAGCTTATTACTAACGTAGTAATGAAGTGCAAATAAAGTGTGCGCTTATCACTAACGTAACTTAAGCAATAGAAAACGTTTGCCGTGTTTGCATAGCCTGATATAAACACGAGAGGGGTTGGGAGAATTCGATACAGTTATGCAAACCCGAGACGAAGTCGCGGGTTTGCATAACTGTCGAGAATTCTCCCAACCCCTCGAGTGTTTATATCAGGCTATGCAAACACAGGGAAAACAGTTTTCTATTGCTCTTATAAAATAACTTTCCCAAGAAAAAAGCAAAACGCTCTTGTTTAGAGCAATTTTTAAAAGAGAAATTCTTACCAGTCGCGAAGTCTTCCACACGAAGCTTGTACGAGTAATCAGTCTTTGTTTTGCAAAAAAGATGCTTTCCAAAATACGGGTTTTTCTCGCTTGAAATGTCAGCTCAAGCTAAAGAAAATTGACACAGCATGTTTCTAAAGATTTTCCAAGTTTCAACCGATGAGGAAATGGGTAAATAAAGTAAACTTGTCAACTTTTTCAACTAAAAACCTTTTTCAAATTCGTGCTTGCGTGATTACCGCGCGGAAAGCAAAACAAGTTGACGTCATAACCATGTTTACATACTCTCATGCAAACACGCCTCTCGGCCAATCAGAGCGCGCGTATTATCTTAGTTATTTTATAAAATCAAATACAAAACAGAGCGTTCGCTCATCACTAACGTATGCAATTAGGTACAAATATAGTGTGCGCCTATCACTAACGTAGTAATGAAGTAAAAATATAGTGTGCGCTTATCTCTAACATAAAAATCAAAACCAAAACAAAGCGTGCGCTTATCCCTGACGCAGCAATAATGTAAAAAAATAGTCTGTCCTTATCATTAACGTAACATTCAAATAGAAAACAGAGCGTCCACTTCTCACTAACATAACAATCAATTACAGGCCAGAGCGTGCACTTATCTCTAACGTAGTAACGATGCACAAATATAGTGTGCGCTTATCAGTAACTTAACAATCAAATACAAAACAGAGCTTGCGCTTATCACTAATGTAACAATAAAATACAAAACAGAGCTTGCGCTTATCACTAACGTAACAATCGAATACAAAACAGAGCTTGCGCTTATCACTAAGGTAACAATCAAATACAAAACAGAGCTTGCGCTTATCACTAACGTAACAATCAAATACAAAACAGAGCTTGCGCTTATCACTAACGTAACAATCGAATACAAAACAGAGCTTGCGCTTATCACTAATGTAACAATCAAATACAAAACAGAGCGTGCGCTTATCACTAACGTAACAATCAAATACAAAACAGAGCTTGCGCTTATCACTAACGTAACAATCGAATACAAAACAGAGCTTGCGCTTATCACTAACGTAACAATCAAATACAAAACAGAGCGTGCGCTTATCACTAACTTAACAATCAAATACAAAACAGACCGTGCGCTTACCACTAACGTAACAATCAAATACAAAACAGAGCCTTCGTTTATGACTTACGTAACTATCGAATACAAAACTGTGCTTGCGCTTATTACTAACGTAACAATCGAATACAAAACAGAGCTTGCGCTTATCACTAACGTAACAATCAAATACAAAACATAATACAAAACAGAGGTTGCGCTTATCACTAATGTAACAATCGAACACAAAACAGTGCTTGCGGTTATCACTAACGTAACAATCGAATACAAAACAGAGCTTGAGCTTATCACCAACGTAACAATCAAATACAAAACAGAACTTGCGCTTATAACTAACGTAATAATCGAATACAAAACAGAGCTTGCGCTTATCACTAACGTAACAATCAAATACAAAACACAATACAAAACAGAGGTTGCGCTTATCACTAACGTAACAATCGAATACAAAACAGAGCTTGCTCTTATCACTATTGTAACAATCGAAGACAAAACAGTGCTTGGGCTTATCACTAACGTAACAATCGAATACAAAGCAGTTTGAGCTTATCACTAACGTAACAATCGAATACAAAACAGAGCTTGCGCTTATCACTAACGTAACAATCGAATACAAAACAGAGCGTGCGCTTATCACTAACGTAACAATCAAATACAAAACAGAGCGTGCGCTTATTACTAACGTAACAATCAAATAAAAAACAGAGTTTGCGCTCATCACTAACGTAACAATCGAATACAAAACAGAGCTTCCGCTTATCACTAATTTAACAATCAAATACAAAACAGAGCTTGCGCTTTTCACTAACGTAACAATCAAATACAAAACAGAGCTTGCGCTTATCACTAACGTAACAATCAAATACGAAACAGAACTTGCGCTTATGACTAACGTAATAATCGAATACAAAACAGAGCTTGCGCTTATCACTAACGTAACAATCGAATACCAAGCAGAGCTTGCGCTTATCACTAACGTAACAATCAAATACATAACAGAGCGTGCGCTTATCAGTAAGGTAAGAATCAAATATAAAACAGAGCTTGCGCTTATCACTAACGTAACAATCGAATACAAAACAGAGCGTGCGCTTACCACTAACGTAACAATCAAATACAAAACAGAGCGTGCGCTTATCACTAACGTAACAATCGAATACAAAACAAGCTTGGGCTTATCAATAACGTAACAATCGGATACAAAGCAGGTTGCGCTTATCACTAACGCAACAATCGAATACAAAACAGAGCTTGCGCTTATCACTAACGTAACAATCAAATACAAAACAGAGCGTGCGCTTATTACTAACGTAACAATCAAATACAAAACAGAGTTTGCGCTTATCACTAACGTAACAATCGAATACAAAACAGACCTTGTGCTTATCACTAACGTAACAATCAAATACAAAACAGAACTTGCGCTTATGACTAACGTAACAATCAAATACAAAACAGAGCGAGCGGTTATCAGTAAGGTAAGAATCAAATATAAAACAGAGCTTCCGCTTATCACTAACGTAACAATCGAATACAAAACAGAGCGTGCGCTTACCACTAACGTAACAATCAAATACAAAACAGAGCGTGCGCTTATCACTAACGTAACAATCGAATACAAAACAAGCTTGGGCTTATCACTAACGTAACAATCGAATACAAAACAGAGCTTGCGCTTATCACTAACGCAACAATCAAATACAAAACAGAGCGTGCGCTTATCACTAACATAACAATCAAATACAAAACAGAGCGTGCGCTTATTACTAACGTAACAATCAAATACAAAACAGAGTTTGCGCTCATCACTAACGTAACAATCGAATACAAAACAGAGCTTCCGCTTATCACTAATTTAACAATCAAATACAAAACAGAGCTTGTGCTTTTCACTAACGTAGGAATCAAATACACAACAGAGCTTGCGCTTATCACTAACGTAACAATCGAATACAAAACCGAGCGTGCGGTTATCACTAACGTAACAATCAAATACAAAACAGAGCTTGCGCTTATCAGTAACGTAACAATCGAATACAAAACAAGCTTGCGCTTATCACTAGCGTAACAATCAAATATTAAACAGAGCGTGCGCTTATCACTAACGTAACAATCGAATACAAAACAGAGCTTGCGCTTATCAGTAACGTAACAATCGAATACAAAACAGAGCTTGGGCTTGTCACTTACGTAACAATCAAATACAAAACAGAGCTTGCGCTTATCACTAACGTAACAATCAAAGACAAAACAGAGCGTGCGCTTATCACTAACTTAACAATCGAATACAAAAAAGAGCGTGCGCTTACCACTAACGTAACAATCAAATACAAAACACAGCGTGCGTTTATGACTTACGTAACTATCGAATACAAAACTTTGCTTGCGCTTATTACTAACGTAACAATCGAATACAAAACAGAGCTTGCGCTTATCACTAACGTCACAATCAAATACAAAACACAATACAAAAAAGAGGTTGCGATTATCACTAACGTAACAATCGAATACAAAACAGAGCTTGCGCTTATCACTAATGTAACAATCGAACACAAAACAGTCCTTGCGGTTATCACTAACTTAACGATCGAATACAAAACAGAGCTTGCGCTTATCACTAACGTCACAATCAAATACAAAACACAATACAAAACAGAGGTTGCGGTTATCACTAACGTAACAATCGAATACAAAACAGAGCTTGCGCTTATCACTAATGTAACAATCGAACACAAAACAGTCCTTGCGGTTATCACTAACTTAACGATCGAATACAAAACAGAGCTTGCGCTTATCACTAACGTAACAATCAAATACAAAACAGAACTTGCGGTTATGACTAACGTAATAATCGAATACAAAACAGAGCGTGCGCTTATCACTAACGTAACAATCAAATACAAAACAGAACTTGCGCTTATGACTAACGTAATAATCGAATACAAAACAGAGCTTGCGCTCTTCACTAACGTAACAATCAAATACAAAACAAAGCTTCCGCTTATCACTAACCTAACAATTAAATACAAAACAGAGCGTGCGCTTATCACTAACTTAACAATCAAATACAAAACAGAGTGTGTGCTTATCACTAACGTAACAATCGAATACAAAACAGAACTTGCGCTTACCACTAACTTAATAATCAAATACAGAACAGGGCGTGGGCTTATCACTAACGTAACAATCGAATACAAAACAAAGCTTTCTCTTATCACCAATGTAACAGTCGACCACAAAACAGTGCTTCCCCTTATCACTAACGTAACAGTCGAATACAAAACAGAGCTTCCGCTTATCACTAACGTAACAATCAAATACAAAACAGAGCTTGCGCTTATCACTAACGTAAGAATCGAATATAAAACAAAGCTTGCGCTTATCACTAACGTAACAATCGAATACAAAACAGAGCTTGCGCTTATCACTAACGTAACAATCGAATACAAAACAGAGCGTGCGCTTATCACTAACGTAACAATCAAATACAAAACAGAGCGTGCGCTTATTGCTAGCGTAACAATCAAATACAAAACAGAGTTTGCGCTCATCACTAACGTAACAATCGAATACAAAACAGAGCTTCCGCTTATCACTAATTTAACAATCAAATACAAAACAGAGCTTGCGCTTTTCACTAACGTAACAATCAAATACAAAACAGAGCTTGCGCTTATCACTAACGTAACAATCGAATACAAAACAGAGCTTGTGCTTATCACTAACGTAACAATCAAATACAAAACAGAACTTGCGCTTATGACTAACGTAACAATCAAATACAAAACAGAGCGTGCGGTTATCAGTAAGGTAAGAATCAAATATTAAACAGAGCTTCCGCTTATCACTAACGTAACAATCGAATACAAAACAGAGCGTGCGCTTACCACTAACGTAACAATCAAATACAAAACAGAGCGTGCGCTTATCACTAACGTAACAATCGAATACAAAACAAGCTTGGGCTTATCACTAACGTAACAATCGAATACAAAGCAGTTTGAGCTTATCACTAACGTAACAATCGAATACAAAACAGAGGTTGCGCTTATCACTAACGCAACAATCGAATGCAAAACAGAGCGTGCGCTTATCACTAACGTAACAATCAAATACAAAACAGAGCGTGCGCTTATTACTAACGTAACAATCAAATACAAAACAGAGTTTGCGCTCATCACTAACGTAACAATCGAATACAAAACAGAGCTTCCGCTTATCACTAATTTAACAATCAAATACAAAACAGAGCTTGCGCTTTTCACTAACGTAGGAATCAAATACAAAACAGAGCTTGCGCTTATCACTAACGTAACAATCGAATACAAAACAGAGCGTGCGGTTATCACTAACGTAACAATCAAATACAAAACAGAGCTTGCGCTTATCAGTAACGTAACAATCGAATACAAAACAAGCTTACGCTTATCACTAGCGTAACAATCAAATATTAAAAAGAGCGTGCGCTTATCACTAACCTAACAATCGAATGCTAAACTGAGGTTGCGCTTATCAGTAACGTAACAATCAAATATAAAACACAATACAAAACAGAGGTTGCGGTTATCACTAACGTAACAATCGAATACAAAACAAGCTTACGCTTATCACTAGCGTAACAATCAAATATTAAAAAGAGCGTGCGCTTATCACTAACCTAACAATCGAATTCTAAACAGAGCTTGCGCTTATCACTAACGTCACAATCAAATACAAAACACAATACAAAACAGAGGTTGCGGTTATCACTAACGTAACAATCGAATACAAAACAGAGCTTGCGCTTATCACTAATGTAACAATCGAACACTAAACAGTCCTTGCGGTTATCACTAACTTAACGATCGAATACAAAACAGAGCTTGCGCTTATCACTAACGTAACAATCAAATACAAAACAGAACTTGCGATTATGACTAACGTAATAATCGAATACAAAACAGAGCTTGCGCTTATCACTAACGTAAGAATCGAATACCAAGCATAGGTTGCGCTTATCACTAACGTAACAATCAAATACAAAAGAGAACTTGCGCTTATGACTAACGTAATAATCGAATACAAAACAGAGCTTGCACTCATCACTAACGTGACAATCAAATACAAAACAGAGCTTGCACTTATCACTAACGTAACAATCGAATACAAAACAGAGCTTGCGCTTATCACTAACGTCACAATCAAATACAAAACAGAGCGTGCGCTTATCACTAACGTAAGAATCGAATACAAAACAGAGCTTGCGCTTATCACTAACGTAACAATCAAATACAAAACAGAGCCTGCGCTTATCACTAACGTAATAATCAAATACGAAACAGGGCGTCCGCTTATCACTAACGTAACGATCAAATACAAAGCAGAGCGTGCGCTTATCACTTACGTAACAATGAAATACAAAACAGAGGTTGCGCTTATCACTAACGTAACAATCAAATACAAAACAGAGTGTTTCCTTATCACTAACGTAACAATCGAATACAAAACAGAACTTGCGCTTACCGCTAACGTAACAATCAAACACAAAAAAGAGCGTGCGCTTATCACTAACGTAACAATCGAATACAAAACAAGCTTGCGCTTATCACTAACGTAACAATCGAATACAAAGCATCTTGCGCTTATCACAAACCTAAGAATCAAATTCAAAACAGAGGCTGCGCTTATCACTAACGTAACAATCAAATACAAAACAGAGCTTGCGCTTATCACTAACGTAACAATCGAATAAGAAACAGAGCTTGCTCTTATCACTAACGTAATAATCAAATACAAAACAGAGCGTGTGTTTATCACTTACGTAACTACCGAATACAAAACTCTGCTTGCGCTTATTACTAACCTAACAATCGAATACAAAAGAGAGGCTGCGCTTATGACTAACGTAACAATCAAATACAGAACACAAGTTCCGCTTATCACTAATGTAGCAATCGAATACAAAACAGAGCTTGCGCTTATCACTAACGTAGCAATCGAATACAACACAGAGCTTGCGTTTATCACTAACGTATCAATCAAATACAAAACAGAACTTGCGCTTATGACTAACGTAACAATCGAATACAAAATAGAGCTTGCGCTTATCACAAACGTAATAATCGAATACCAAACATACCTTGCACTTATCACTAACGTAACAATCAAATACAAAACAGAGCGTGCGCTTATCAGTAACGTAACAATCAAATACAAAACAGAGCTTGCGCTTATCACTAACGTAACAATCGAATACAAAACAGAGCGTGCGCTTATCAGTAACGTAACAATCAAATACAAAACAGAGCGTGCGCTAATCACTAACGTAACAATCAAATACAAAACAGAGCTTCCTCTTATTACTAACGTAACAATCAAATACAAAACAGAGCTTCGCGCTTATCACTAACGTAACAATCAAATACAAAACAGAGCTTGCGCTTGTTACTAACGTAACAATCAAATACACAACAATGCGTGCGCTTATCACTAACGTAACAATCGAATACAAAACAGAGCTTGCCCATATCACTAATGTAACAATCGAACACAAAACAGTGCTTGCCCTTATCACTAAGGTAACAATCGAATACAAAACAGAGGTTGTGCTTATTACTAACGTAACAATCAAATACAAAACAGAGGGTGCGCTTATCACTAACGTAACAGTCAAATACAAATCAGAGCTTGCGGTCATCACTAACGTAACAATCGAATACCAAACAAAGGTTGCGCTGATCACTAACGTGACAATCAAATATAAAACAGAGCTTGCACTCATCACTAACGTAACAATCGAATACAAAACAGAGCTTGCGCTTATCACTAACGTAAAAATCAAATACAAAACAGAGCGTGCGCTTATTACTAACATAACAATCAAATACAAAACAGAGTTTCCGCTTATCACTAACGTAACAATCGAATACAAAACAGAGCTTCCGCTTATCACTAATTTAACAATCAAATACAAACAGAGCTTGCGCTTTTCACTAACGTAACAATCAAATACAAAACAGAGGTTCTGCTTATCACTAACGTAACAATCGAATACAAAACAGAGCTTGCGCTTATCACTAACGTAACAATCGAATACAAAACAGAGCTTGCGCTTATCAGTAACGTAACAATCGAATACAAAACAAGCTTGCGCTTATCACTAGCGTAACAATCAAATATTAAACAGAGCGTGCGCTTATCACTAACGTAACAATCGAATACAAAACAGAGCTTGCGCTTATCAGTAACGTAACAATCGAATACAAAACAGAGCTTGCGCTTATCACTAACGTAACAATCAAATACAAAACAGAGCGTGCGCTTATCACTAACGTAACAATCAAATACAAAACAGAGCTTGCGCTTGTCACTAACGTAACAATCAAATACAAAACAGACCTTGCGCTTATCACTAACGTAACAATCAAAGACAAAACAGAGTGTGCGCTTATCACTAACTTAACAATCAAATACAAAACAGACCGAGCGGTTACCACTAACGTAACAATCAAATACAAAACAGAGCGTGCGTTTATGACTTACGTAACTATCGAATACAAAACTGTGCTTGCGCTTATCACTAACGTAACAATCAAATACAAAACACAATACAAAACAGAGGTTGCAATAATCACTAATGTAACAATCAAATACAAAACAGTGCTTGCGGTTATCACTAACGTAACAATCGAATACAAAACAGAGCTTGCGCTTATCACTAACGTAACAATCAAATACAAAACAGAACTTGCGCTTATGACTAACGTAATAATCGAATACAAAACAGAGCTTGCGCTTATCACTAACGTAACAATCAAATACAAAACACAATACAAAACAGAGGTTGCGCTTATCACTAACGTAACAATCGAATACAAAACAGAGCTTGCTCTTATCACTAATGTAACAATCGAACACAAAACAGTGCTTGGGCTTATCACTAACGTAACAATCGAATACAAAGCAGTTTGAGCTTATCACTAACGTAACAATCGAATACAAAACAGAGCTTGCGCTTATCACTAACGTAACAATCGAATACAAAACAGAGCGTGCGCTTATCACTAACGTAACAATCAAATACAAAACAGAGCGTGCGCTTATTACTAGCGTAACAATCAAATACAAAACAGAGTTTGCGCTCATCACTAACGTAACAATCGAATACAAAACAGAGCTTCCGCTTATCACTAATTTAACAATCAAATACAAAACAGAGCTTGCGCTTTTCACTAACGTAACAATCAAATACAAAACAGAGCTTGCGCTTATCACTAACGTAACAATCGAATACAAAAGAGAGCTCTCGCTTATCACTAACGTAACAATCAAATACAAAACAGAACTTGCGCTTATGACTAACGTAACAATCAAATACAAAATAGAGCGTGCGCTTATCAGTAAGGTAAGAATCAAATATAAAACAGAGCTTGCGCTTATCACTAACGTAAAAATCGAATACAAAACAGAGCGTGCGCTTACCACTAACGTAAGAATCAAATACAAAACAGAGCGTGCGCTTATCACTAACGTAACAATCAAATACAAAACAGAGCTTCCGCTTATCACTAACCTAACAATCAAATACAAATCAGCCTGCGCTTATCACTAACGTAACAATCGAATACAAAACAGAACTTGTGCTTACCACTAACGTAATAATCAAATACAAAACAGAGCGTGCGTTTATCACTAACGTAACAATCAAATACAAAACAGAGCTTCCCCTTATCACTAACCTAACAATCAAATCCAAAACAGAGCGTGCGCTTATCACTAACGTAACAATCAAATACAAAACAGAGTGTGTGCTTATCACTAACGTAACAATCGAATACAAAACAGATCTTGCGCTTACCACTAACGTAATAATCAAATACAGAACAGAGCGTGCGCTTATCACTAACGTAACAATCGAATACAAAACAAAGCTTTCTCTTATCACCAATGTAACAGTCGACCACAATGCACTGCTTCCCCTTATCACTAACGTAACAGTCGAATACAAAACAGAGCTTCCGCTTATCACTAACGTAACAATCAAATAGAAAACAGAGCTTGCGCTTATCACTAACGTAAGAATCGAATACAAAACAAAGCTTGCGCTTATCACTAACGTAACAATCGATACAAAACAGAGCTTCCGCTTATCACTAACGAAACAATCAAATACAAAACAGAGCGTGCGCTTATCACTAACGTAACAATCAAATACAAAACAGAGCTTGCGCTTATCACTAACGTAACAATCAAATACAAAACACAGCTTGCGCTTATCACTAACGTAACAATCAAATAGAAAACAGAGCTTGCGCTTATCACTAACCTAAGAATCAATTACAAAACAGAGCGTGCGCTTATCCCTAACGTAACAATCGAATACAAAACAGAGCGTGCGCTTACCACTAACGTAACAATCAAATACAACACAAAGCGTGCGCTTATCACTTACGTAACAATCGAATGCAAAACAGTGCTTGCGCTTATTACTAACGTAAAAATCAAATACAAAACAGAGCTTGCGCTTATCACTAACGTAACAATCGAATAAGAAACAGAGCTTGCTCTTATCACTAACGTAACAATCAAATACAAAACAGAGCGTGCGCTTTTCAGTAACGTAACAATCAAATATAAAACAGAGCTTCCGCTTATCACTAACGTAACAATCGAATACAAAACAGAGCGTGCGCTTACCACTAACGTAATAATCAAATACAAAACAGAGCGTGCGTTTATCACTTACGTAACTAGCGAATAGAAAACTCTGCTTGCGCTTATTACTAACCTAACAATCGAATACAAAAGAGAGCCTGCGCTTATGACTAACGTAACAATCAAATACAGAACACAAGTTCCGCTTATCACTAGTGTAGCAATCGAATACAAAACAGAGCTTGCGCTTATCACTAACATAGCAATCGAATACAAAACAGATCTTCCGCTTATCACTAATGTAACAAAGGATCACTAAAAAGTGCTGGCGCTTATCACTAACGTAACAATCAAATACAACACAGAGCTTGCGTTTATCACTAACGTATCAATCAAATACAAAACAGAACTTGCGCTTATGACTAACGTAACAATCGAATACAAAACAGAGCTTGCGCTTATCACTAACGTAACAATCAAATATTAAACAGAGCGTGCGCTTATCACTAACGTAACAATCGAATAGAAAACAGAGCTTGCGCTTATTTGTAAGGTAACAATCGAATACAAAACAGAGCTTGCGCTTATCACTAACGTAACAATCAAATACAAAACAGAGCGTGCGCTTATCACTAACGTAACAATCAAATACAAAACAGAGCTTGCGCTTGTCACTAACGTAACAATCAAATACAAAACAGACCTTGCGCTTATCACTAACGTAACAATCAAAGACAAAACAGAGTGTGCGCTTATCACTAACTTAACAATCAAATACAAAACAGACCGTGCGCTTACCACTAACGTAACAATCAAATACAAAACAGAGCGTACGTTTATGACTTACGTAACTATCGAATACAAAACTGTGCTTGCGCTTATTACTAACGTAACAATCGAATACAAAATAGAGCTTGCGCTTATCACTAACGTAACAATCAAATACAAAACACAATACAAAACAGAGGTTGCAATAATCACTAATGTAACAATCAAATACAAAACAGTGCTTGCGGTTATCACTAACGTAACAATCGAATACAAAACAGAGCTTGCGCTTATCACTAACGTAACAATCAAATACAAAACAGAACTTGCGCTTATGCTTAACGTAATAATCGAATACAAAACAGAGCTTGCGCTTATCACTAACGTAACAATCGAATACAAAACAGAGCTTGCTCTTATCACTAATGTAACAATCGAACACAAAACAGTGCTTGGGCTTATCACTAACGTAACAATCGAATACAAAGCAGTTTGAGCTTATCACTAACGTGACAATCGAATACAAAACAGAGCTTGCGCTTATCACTAACGTAACAATCGAATACAAAACAGAGCGTGCGCTTATCACTAACGTAACAATCAAATAGAAAACAGAGCGTGCGCTTATTACTAGCGTAACAATCAAATACAAAACAGAGTTTGCGCTCATCACTAACGTAAGAATCGAATACAAAACAGAGCTTCCGCTTATCACTAATTTAACAATCAAATACAAAACAGAGCGTGCGCTTATTACTAGCGTAACCATCAAATACAGAACAGAGTTTGCGCTCATCACTAACGTAACAATCGAATACAAAACATAGCTTCCGCTTATCACTAATTTAACAATCAAATAGAAAACAGAGCTTGCGCTTTTCACTAACGTAACAATCAAATACAAAACAGAGCCTTCGCTTATCACTAACGTAACAATCGAATACAAAAGAGAGCTCTCGCTTATCACTAACGTAACAATCAAATACAAAACAGAACTTGCGCTTATGACTAACGTAAGAATCAAATACAAAATAGAGCGTGCGCTTATCAGTAAGGTAAGAATCAAATATAAAACAGAGCTTGCGCTTATCACTAACGTAACAATCGAATACAAAACAGAGCGTGCGGTTACCACTAACGTAACAATCAAATACAAAACAGAGCGTGCGCTTATCACTAACGTAACAATCGAATACAAAACAGGCTTGGGCTTATCACTAACGTAACAATCGAATACAAAGCAGTTTGAGCTTATCACTAACGTAACATTCGAATACAAAACAGAGCTTGCGCTTATCACTAACGCAACAATCGAATACAAAACAGAGCGTGCGGTTATCACTAACGTAACAATCAAATACAAAACAGAGCGTGCGCTTATTACTAACGTAACAATCAAATACAAAACAGAGTTTGCGCTCATCACTAACGTAACAATCGAATACAAAACAGTGCTTCCGCTTATCACTAATTTAACAATCAAATACAAAACAGAGCTTGCGCTTTTCACTAACGTAGCAATCAAATACAAAACAGAGCTTGCGCTTATCACTAACGTAACAATCGAATACAAAAAAGAGCGTGCGGTTATCACTAACGTAACAATCAAATACAAAAAAGACGTTGCGCTTATCAGTAACGTAACAATCCAATACAAAAGAAGCTTGCGCTTATCACTAGCGTAACAATCAAATATTAAACAGAGCGTGCGCTTATCACTAACCTAACAATCGAATGCTCAACAGAGCGTGCGCTAATCAGTAACTTAACAATCAAATATTAAACAGAGCGTGCGCTTATCAGTAACGTAACAATCGAATAGAAAACAGAGCTTCCGCTTGTCACTAACGTAACAATCAAATACAAAACAGAGCTTGCGCTTATCACGAACGTAACAATCAAAGACAAAACAGAGCGTGCGCTTATCACTAACTAAACAATCGAATACAAAAAAGAGCGTGCGCTTACCACTAACGTAACAATCAAATACAAAACACAGCGTGCGTTTATGACTTACGTAACTATCGAATACAAAACTGTGCTTGCGCTGATTACTAACGTAACAATCGAATACAAAACGGAGCTTCCGCTTATCACTAACGTCACAATCAAATACAAAACACAATACAAAACAGAGGTTGCGGTTATCACTAACGTAACAATCAAATACAAAACAGAACTTGCGGTTATGACTAACGTAATAATCGAATACAAAACAGAGCTTCCGCTTATCACTAACGTAAGAATCGAATACCAAGCATAGCTTGCGCTTATCACTAACGTAACAATCAAATACAAAACAGAACTTGCGCTTATGACTAACGTAATAATCGAATACAAAACAGAGCTTGCGCTCATCACTAACGTGACAATCAAATACAAAACAGAGCTTGCACTTATCACTAACGTAACAATCGAATACAAAACAGAGCTTGCGCTTATCACTAACGTCACAATCGAATACAAAACAGAGCTTGCGCTTATCACTAACGTAACAATCAAATACAAAACAGAGCCTGCGCTTATCACTAACGTAATAATCAAATACGAAACAGGGCGTCCGCTTATCACTAACGTAACGATCAAATACAAAGCAGAGCGTGCGCTTATCACTTACGTAACAATGAAATACAAAACAGAGGTTGCGCTTATCACTAACGTAACAATCAAATACAAAACAGAGTGTGTGCTTATCACTAACGTAACAATCGAATACAAAACAGAACTTGCGCTTACCGCTAACGTAACAATGAAACAGAAAAAAGAGCTTGCGCTTATTACTAACGTAACAATCGAATACAAAACAAGCTTGCGCTTATCACTAACGTAACAATCGAATACAAACCATCTTGCGCTTATCACAAACCTAAGAATCAAATTCAAAACAGAGCTTGCGCTTATCACTAACGTAACAATCAAATACAAAACAGAGCTTGCGCTCATTACTAACGTAACAATCGTATACAAAACAGAGCGTGCGCTTATCACTAACGTAACAATGAAATACAAAACAGAGCATGCGCTTATCACTAACGTAACAATCAAATAAAAAACAGCCTGCGCTTATCACTAACGTAACAATCGAATACAAAACAGAACTTGCGCTTACCGCTAACGTAACAATGAAACAGAAAAAAGAGCTTGCGCTTATTACTAACGTAACAATCGAATACAAAACAAGCTTGCGCTTATCACTAACGTAACAATCGAATACAAACCATCTTGCGCTTATCACAAACCTAAGAATCAAATTCAAAACAGAGCTTGCGCTTATCACTAACGTAACAATCAAATACAAAACAGAGCTTGCGCTCATTACTAACGTAACAATCGTATACAAAACAGAGCGTGCGCTTATCACTAACGTAACAATGAAATACAAAACAGAGCATGCGCTTATCACTAACGTAACAATCAAATACAAAACAGAGCTTCCGCTTATCACTAACCTTACAATCAAATACAAAACAGCCTGCGCTTATCACTAACGTAACAATCGAATACAAAACAGAACTTGTGCTTACCACTAACGTAATAATTAAATACAAAACAGAGCGTGCGTTTATCACTAACGTAACAATCAAATACAAAACAGAGCTTCCGCTTATCACTAACCTAACAATCAAATACAAAACAGAGCGTGCGCTTACCACTAACGTAACAATCAAATACAACACAAAGCGTGCGCTTATCACTTACGTAACAATCGAATGCAAAACAGTGCTTGCGCTTATTACTAACGTAACAATCAAATACAAAACAGAGCTTGCGCTTATCACTAACGTAACAATCGAATAAGAAACAGAGCTTGCTCTTATCACTAACCTAACAATCAAATACAAAACAGAGCGTGCGCTTATCAGTAACGTAACAATCAAATATAAAACAGAGCTTCCGCTTATCACTAACGTAACAATCGAATACAAAACAGAGCGTGCGCTTACCACTAACGTAATAATCAAATACAAAACAGAGCGTGCGTTTATCACTTACGTAACTAGCGAATAGAAAACTCTGCTAGCGCTTATTACTAACCTAACAATCGAATACAAAAGAGAGCCTGCGCTTATGACTAACGTAACAATCAAATACAGAACACAAGTTCCGCTTATCACTAGTGTAGCAATCGAATACAAAACAGAGCTTGCGCTTATCACTAACATAGCAATCGAATACAAAACAGATCTTCCGCTTATCACTAATGTAACAAAGGATCACTAAAAAGTGCTGGCGCTTATCACTAACGTAACAATCAAATACAACACAGAGCTTGCGTTTATCACTAACGTATCAATCAAATACAAAACAGAACTTGCGCTTATGACTAACGTAACAATCGAATACAAAACAGAGCTTGCGCTTATCACTAACGTAACAATCGAATACCTAACATACCTTGCGCTTATCACTAACGTAACAATCGAATACAAAACAGAGCGTGCGCTTATCAGTAACGTAACAATCAAATACAAAACAGAGCGTGCGCTAATCACTAACGTAACAATCAAATACAAAACAGAGCTTCCTCTTATTACTAACGTAACAATCAAATACAAAACAGAGCTTCGCGCTTATCACTAACGTAACAATCAAATACAAAACAGAGCTTGCGCTTGTTACTAACGTAACAATCAAATACACAACAATGCGTGCGCTTATCACTAACGTAACAATCGAATACAAAACAGAGCTTGCCCATATCACTAATGTAACAATCGAACACAAAACAGTGCTTGCCCTTATCACTAAGGTAACAATCGAATACAAAACAGAGGTTGTGCTTATTACTAACGTAACAATCAAATACAAAACAGAGGGTGCGCTTATCACTAACGTAACAATCAAATACAAATCAGAGCTTGCGGTCATCACTAACGTAACAATCGAATACAAAACAAAGGTTGCGCTCATCACTAACGTGACAATCAAATATAAAACAGAGGTTGCACTTATCACTAACGTAACAATCGAATACAAAACAGAGCTTGCGCTTATCACTAACGTAACAATCAAATAGAAAACATGGCGTGCGCTTATCACTAACGTAACAATCGAATACAAAACAGAGCTTGCGCTTATCACTAACCAAACAATCAAATAGAAAACAGAGCCTGCGCTTATCACTAATGTAACAATCAAATACGAAACAGGGCGTCTGCTTATCACTAACGTAACAATCGAATACAAAGCAGACCGTGCGCTTATCACTTATGTAACAATGAAATACAAAACAGAGGTTGCGTTTATCACTAACGTAACAATCGAATACAAAACAGAGCTTACGCTTATCACTAACGTAACAATCGAATACAAAACAGAGCTTGCGCTTATCACTAACGTAACAATCAAATACAAAACAGAGCATGCGCTTATCACTAACGTAACAATCAAGTACAAAACAGAACTTGCACTTATGACTAACGTAATAATCGAATACAAAACAGAGCTTGCGCTTATCACTAACGTAACAATCGAATACCAAACATAGCTTGCGCTTATCACTAACGTAACAATCAAATACAAAACAGAGCGTGCGCTTATCAGTAAGGTAACAATCAAATATAAAACAGAGCTTGCGGTTATCACGAACGTAACAATCGAATACAAAACAGAGCGTGCGCTTACCACTAACGTAACAATCAAATACAAAACAGAGCGTGCGGTTATCACTAACGTAACAATCGAATACAAAACAAGCTTTGGGTTATCACTAACGTAACAATCAAATACAAAACAGAGCTTGCGCTTATCACTAACGTAACAATCGAATACAAAACAGAGCTTGCGCTTATCACTAATTTAACAATCAAATACAAAACAGAGCTTGCGCTTATCACTAACGTAACAATCAAATACAAAACAGAGCTTGCGCTTATTACTAACGTAAGAATCGAATAGAAAACAGAGCGTGCGGTTATCACTAACGTAACAATCAAATACAAAACAGAGCTTGCGCTTATCACTAACGTAACAATCAAATATTAAACAGAGCTTGCGCTTGTCACTAACGTAACAGTCGAATACAAAACAGAGCTTGCGCTTATCACTAACGTAACAATCGCATACAAAACAAGTTTGCGCTTATCACTAACGCAACAATCAAATACAAGACAGAGCTTGTGCTTATCATTACGGTAACAATCAAATACAAAACAGAGCTTGCGCTTATCACTAACGTCACAATCGAATACAAAACAGCTTGCGCTTATCACTAACGTAACAATCGAATACAAAACAGAGCTTGCGCTCATCACTAACGTAACAATCGAATACAAAACAGAACGTGCGCTTATCACTAACGTAACAATCAAATACAAAACAGAGCTTGCGCTTATGACTAACGTAACCATCGAATACAAAACAGAGCTTGCGCTTATCACTAATTTAACAATCAAATACAAAACAGAGCTTGCGCTTATCACTAACGTAACAATCAAATACAAAACAGAGCTTGCGCTTATTACTAACGTAAGAATCGAATACAAAACAGAGGGTGCGGTTATCACTAACGTAACAATCAAATACAAAACAGAGCTTGCGCTTATCACTAACGTAACAATCAAATATTAAACAGAGCTTGCGCTTGTCACTAACGTAACAGTCGAATACAAAACAGTGCTTGCGCTTATCACTAACGTAACAATCGCATACAAAACAAGCTTGCGCTTATCACTAACGTAGCAATCAAATACAAGACAGAGCTTGTGCTTATCATTATGGTAACAATCAAATACAAAACAGAGCTTGCGCTTATCACTAACGTAACAATCGAATACAAAACAGCTTGCGCTTATCACTAACGTAACAATCGAATACAAAACAGAGCTTGCGCTTATCTTTTACGTAGTAATGATGTACAAATATATTGTGCGGATATCACTAACGGAACAAAATACAGAACAGTGCGTGCACTTATCACTGACGTAACAATGTAATACAAATATAGTGTGCGGTTGTCACTTACTTTATAATCAAACACAAAACTGAGAGTGCGCTTATCTTTAACGTAGTAATGAATTTCAAATAGTGTGTGCGCTTATCATTAACGTAATATATCAAACATGAGACGCAGTGTTTCATCACCAGATGAAACACCGAGAAGAGAGTTGGAAATACGACGCGTAGCGGAGTATTTTGACGAACTTCGAGGTGTTTCATCTGGTGATGAAACACTGTGTCGAATGTTTGATATTTCTTCTCAAACAAAATCATTGTTGAAGGAGAAATTAAGGATGCAAAAATGAGCAGTTTTTCATCCGATATCCAAACACTCATTAAACATTAATTTCCTTTGAATTTTCTTTATGAATTATTAATGAGTTTGAGAAGTAACAATCAAATACAAAACAGCGCGTGCGTTTAACACTAACGTTACAACGTAGTACAAATATAGTGTGCGGTTATCACTAATATAACAATCAAAAACAAAACAGAGCGTTCGCTTATCACTGACTTAGGAATAAAGGAAAAATATAGTCTGTGCTTATTACTGATGTAACAATCAAACACAAAATAGAGCGTGCGCTTATTGCTAATCTTGCAATGAATTACAAGTATAGTTTGTGCTTATTACTTACCTAACACTCAAGCACAAAATATAGTGAGCGGTTATCACTAACGTAACAATCAAACACAAAACAGAGCTTGCTCTTATTACTAATCTCGCAACGAAGTACAAGTATAGTTTGCGCTTATTACTGACCCAACACTAAAACACAAAATATAGTGTACGCTTAGGACTAACGCTACAACCAAACACAAAACAGAGGTGGTGCTTATTAGTACCGTAGCAATTAGGTACAAATATAGTGTTCGCTTATTACTGAGGTAACACTCAAACAAAATATAGTGTGCGCGTTTTACTAACGTAACAACCAAACACAAAACAGAGCCTTCGCTCATCTCTCAAGTCACTATAAAGTACAAATAGATTGTGCGCGTGTCACTAACGTAACAATGAACGAACAAAATTGTGCTCCTATCATTAACGCAGCATTAAATTAAAAAAACTATAGTATGTGCTTATTACTAACGTTACAATCAAGCGCAAAACAGAGCGTTCCCCTATAACTTGAGAACAGGGCGGCCCTGCTTGAGAATGAAGCGTAAAACAGAGTGCGTGTTTATCACCAACGTAACAAAGAAGTACAAATATAGTGTGGGCTTAACAATAATATAACAAACAGACACAAAGCAAAGCGCACCCTTATAACTAACGTAAGAATAAAGCGGAAAACGTAGTTTAGTTGGCGCTTATCACTACTTTAAGAGTGAAACATAACAGAGCGCTCGCTAATCACTTATGTAACAATGAAACAAAACAGAACTCACGTTAAAACTAATCTTAACTTAGTGTGTGCGTTATCAGTAACAGTCAAACACAATGCAGAATGCGCGCTCATCGCTTACGCTATAATACAACACAGCAGCGAGCTTAACACTGACCTAACAGTCAAACATAGGAACGAGACGCGCGCTTGTCAATGACGTAGGGTCGTGAGTTCCTTTCTCACCTGGCGCTCTGATTTTTTTCTGAGCTTTCTGGGGGTTAGAAATCTCCTTCCTCCAAACACAAAACAAAGTGTGCGCGTCACACCGACGCATCAAACAAGCCTAACACATTGCGCGCGCTTACCACTAACACAACTATTAACCCAACACTGGGTGCGCGCTTATCAATAACACAAAACAGATTGTGTACCTACCACAAACTTATTTTTTGACAGAGGTTGAGGAAGCAACGAGTTCCTTAATTAAATAGTGTATCGAATTGTTGTCTTACAAGTAGCGAAAACGCGTTTAGCCCTTCATTTTATTTATACAAACTATGACTTATTTTATCTTTTGCTATTTTCAGGGATATGAACCAACACTGTTAAGAACACAGGTATTTTGCTCTAAATAACCTTCTCGGCTGTCCTTCAGTTACTTGTTGTCTCAGTTAGACTGTTACTCCATGATGTATCTGCTAAGCATTTTCACGCTGAGCGGAAAAACAAGAAAAGAAGTTAAACTTCTTACGCAAAGTATGGCGTTTCTTTCACAGTCGCTATAATTCAGTGGTATACGATTGTCAATCTGAATTCAATTGGGGGGTCGCCAAATACGTGAATTAAATTTGATTTTACGCATCCTGAGGAATCGAATGTTTATCGGACGTTCCTACTTAAAACTACATCAAGGAGGCATTGAGTTACGTGGGATATTAGCAACTCCTTAATGAATTGCTACACTCCTTGTTAGCAATAATAACTATAGTTTGCTTATTTTTCAGTACCGTTGCCATCCTGCAATAAGTGCCATATCCAACAGGTTGGTAGTCTCTCCGCTTGAATACTTATTGACTAATCACCCAGTTCTGTGTGAAGGCGTACAGGTTTTCTATTCTGATAGTTCTTATCTCTTTCTTTGATATTTTGCTAACTTCCCCCCTATAATTTCCTGACTAACAAACTTTTGGACTAGAAGCTTTACGAGCACTCAACCATCTGCACATTTATGAAGAAGAATATTTTCGCCCCGAACTTTCTTGAAAGACCTTCGGGAACATCAGGTGGCAAAAATCCTCGAGAATTTTTACCTCTATCGTAAAAGGTGCCCGCGCAAAAAGTGATTGAAAGTCTTATATGTTAACTTAATAACAAGCCTCATCAGCATTACGTTTTAATACATTTTTTCTATTGGTAAATATGAAAACGAGATTTGATTTCTTTTAACAGGCTGTTTTATGACAACAAACTTCTCGATGGTGTATCTGATGAGGATCGTTCTCCAATAGTGGTTAGTGAATTTGATCATCCCACAAATATTCTTAAAAGGGTTTATATCGTTGTGTTTACAACAAAGTTTTGTTGCACAGCCCTGGAGTTTTTCCAAATCAAGCTTTCCAGTGGATGAATTTATCCGTTTTACGTCCTTTATTGTCTTACGATAGCTCGAACACGGCTGATTAATATGACCATTTTTTCGACCTTGACTATCGTTCTAAATATTTTGTTCTGTAGAACCTTGTTCCCACTCTTTGCTTCTTCAATGTGGCTAAAGGAAGGGAGAAATGCGGCAATGATGGCAGCTACTACAATGAGGAGGAGGTAAAAGAAAATTGCCCCCCACCCCTCCTAACCTGATACACTTAATACGAGCAGCTGCTCAGCCTCTTGAGTATGACTGTATTGTTATATTATTATTTACCAGTAACGCCTACCCTTCGAAGCCTAAGATTGATGACGTGGGGTCGGCTAAATATTACGAAAAAAAGAAAAATGCAAAGTACATTTCTAGTTTACAGGACTGTGATTGAATGAGGAAACAGACTGTCTAAATTTAGTTAAATTAGTGTTGTCAAAGAGAGACTGAGGCAGATATTTCCACTGAGTGGTTGTTCTAGGGTAGAATGAGAGAAAGAGAGACTGTCTAGTTTTCATGTCATTTTTGCCTCTGATGTCGTTTGTTACTATTGTGTTTGTAGGCCAAATTTGTTGTCTTTCTCATCGAAAGCTTGCTGGAGTCTGGGATGCAACCATCACAAATAGGTATGTACTGTGTCCAGCTCTCTGGGCGTGGTGTTAGTGTCAGTTTGGACGCCGTATCAAGAATTCAGGGTTCAAGCCCTGTCTGTGTCACTGTGTTGTGTTCTTGGCTAATACACCTTACTCTCTCATTGCCTTACTCCTGCACTCAAGTGTATAAATGGATACCAGCGAATTTAATGCTGGGTTTTTTTTGATGGACTGGGGTCCCGTCCAGGGGGGATAGAAATATTCCTTTTCGCTTCATGCTGCAGAAGATCCAGCGTGATCAGGCACTTGGCTCTAATGCAAACTTACCTTGCCTACCTAGTGTTGAAGAGGTCTTGAAGATACATACAGTTTCAGAATTTAACTTCTAACTTCTCATCAACCCAAACGCAAACTATACACTTGGCAGATTTTAAATAATTCTGTTATTATGCCCTCTGATGAAAGTCCAATAGCAGAGTACTAAAGCTTGTCGTTTTGTTTTTCAACAGCACTACTTTGCGGTTTTCTTTAGGAGTGATTACGCTGTACAAGAGTCAGCTTCGCACAGTAGCCAGCCAATTAACAGCATCTGGGTAAGAACGTTTAAATGTAGAGTTGCGATTTATTAATAACATTGCGCTCATCATCTGACACATCATCTCGCTTAAGAAAAACTGTAGTGTTTAAAAGGAACTAAGAATATTCCATCATAATACTTGAATAAGGACAGTGTTATAAGTATAGGATCAAAAATCGCATTATATTGATCAATATGCAATTGAATGCGAGCAATGGGGGAAACGGTCCCTTGAATACTAGCTCTATCCGCTGTGCGGAGTGCTGTCTACAGTCTAGCCCAACAAATCTAACAAATCTTAACTGTTATTTGCCTTACATTGTTTCTGCAGGACTACTTCTCATGCGGAGCTCAAAGCCATTCAGGTGAATACCGCAAACGTTTCTACATATGTAATGGTAATTATATAATTAAGAAAGGGTTGTTGCTGACAAATGGACCTTCTGGATATGTCTTTGCTATTGGTCACCTTTATTGTCATTTATTGAGTACTCGACAAGTATTAAGTCCTAGTCGATCAGTGGGTGGTTTCATACTAGGACTTGGACTTCAAGGTAGTCACCCACCGGATAGGTGTTTTGACTAGTGATTTTTTCCAGGGATTTTCTGTGATCGTTTTGACTGCCAAGCTCCTCAAAGTGGCATTTCTTCTCAAGTGAAACGGTTAGTCAGCGACAAAAAGTCCAAAAATAAACAAAACAACAACAATTTTCCATAGTCTGTACTCCTATCGACCATTCAAATGACGTCAAAATGTTCAAAACTCCAAGTGAAACCACGAGCGTCAAGAGAATGGTGTCACTGCAATAATTGATCGATAGGATTTACAGTTTTTGGCGTCCATTTCCGCTGAGATTTCTCGGAAAACCGGGCGTACAAGAGGACAAAAACAAACTGTGCGATCATGACGTCATTTCCATAGTCTACTGTTATCGACCAGAGCTCTCGACCAATCAGCGCGCGAGAAATCGCACTGTTATCGTAAAATTATTTTTTGCTCTCTTCAGATATCAACTGTTGATGCTTTTCAAGGCGGAGAGAAGGATGTTATTATATTGTCCTGTGTTCGTACAGATCACATTGGATTCATTGACTGTGACAAGTACGTTTGGCTGCTAAACCCAGTATTGTATATCTTGTGTTAGGTAGTCAACCCTACCTAAGGCCGAATTCGTTGCGGCTTACACTAAGTCTCCTTGCTCAAGAGGTGTTTGCGTATAGAAAGTCAAACAAGAGGAAAGAAGCACGGAAGAGTGTTGATGACGTTCAGATTATGACTTGCGAGGGGAATGCGGCGAGCGTGGGCGCCCTGTTTATTTAGCATTCGAAATGTGTTCAATTTTGCTAAATATACGTAATTCTATTTAAAACTAATTTAACAATAATTTCATTTCATTTCATGAATAATAAGTAATTCTATCCTTTTTTTTTATCTTAGACGCAGTAATGTTGCCCTAACAAGAGCGAAGAGGTTTGTACCATCTTTTTCGGTGATCTTTACTTTGGTTTATCCTTGTCTTTGTTGACGGTCCTTCGCGTTTGTCTTTGTCTTGTTTTCCTTAAGGGATAGATCATACTTCTCAACAAAATTGCGGTGTCTTTTATTATATTTAAATCAAAGATACTGCTCGTAAGCTGGTTTTTGTTTCTTCCCAGGCATTTGCTCATTGTTGGCAACCTTAAAATGCTGTCTTGTAACGCTGTATGGGGCAAAGTCATCGAACACTGTGGAAGTAAGTTGCTTATTCCCCCCGCTTTTTTTATGATATAATCAGGCAAAATTTTCTCAGTTCCCTTGATAGCCTTCCATTCATGCCCATACATTACGGAAAAAATAGGTCACCGTAGGAGGCATGAAATAAGATCGTGTTCCAACCAGATCCCACCCCTCCCTCCTTTGTAAGTCAAATGGTAGGCCCCTAACTTGTGGTCTGGGTCATAGCATATGAGATCTTCTTACTATTTATAGACTTATCTTTTGGCCAAAAAAGCTTTTAGTCAATCAGAGCAGCATAGGACTTTCAGCAATGGCGAAGATTGTTAAATCGGTTGAAATACCTTGGAAGCGATTTCCAAGGAGACGCTTGGTAAGGGGTCGATTCTCATTGTATGGACCTTAGTGAAATCAGCGACTGATATCACGAGGAAGTTAAATCTGAAAATAGAATAAAAGTCTGACGTACGCGCGGTGCCACTGCAGGGTATTGGGGCTCCTGCTGTTGTCGATTTTTTTACTGTTTGGGCCAGAGACTGGGTCAGTGTTGGTTTGCATTGCATCGTGGGACTCTTATTGGGGACGAATTCTGCCCTAGTTTCTGCGCAAGGTCATAAAAAAGAGATATCATCTCCAATAATATACCCCAGCGAAATACGACACAACACCGACTCAGGATAAAGAGGAACCTGAACATGCCGATATGCAACGTAAAGATTTTAACGTCACTGTTTTAATTTCAATAGATTTTCCAAACGGACTTTGCAACTCAGACGTGTTTATGGAGAAGTGTCAAGAGAAGGAGTCGAATGCTTTGGACGAAGGTTGGTCAAAACTTGTATACTGCCTCGACAGTTTTGATTATCATTAAGTGCTTTTGATTGTCCAACTCTATTATTACACCGTATTGGCCATTTTGTAGTTGCCCGTTGGACTAGGTCGGGTAAGTGTCGTGTGGAATATACCACTTCCGTCTTCCAAAACCCCTCACTTTCAAAATGAGGCCAAGTACAAAACCTTTGTTGTGAAAACGAGTTTTATTTGCATGAGAATTTATTTTATTTTATTTTATTTATTCCTCCAATTCCTAGCTGATACATAGTTATGTAAATATAACGTGAAAAAAGTAATATAGTAACAGGTAAAGATTTACAAAGGAAAAAACGCGTAATAAGCACATTGTGAAAGCTAAAGGTATCGTCAACCCTTGCTAAGGAAAAGAATCCAGGGGCAAAAAGGCTGGGTGGAGTACTATTTATTTCGTAACAAAATTGACGAAAAAAAAACCTGATTTAATTTTCTCTGTCTTGCTGCAGATTTAGAAGATTCAAAAGGGCATGCGGACCAACTGAGTAATGTTGGAAGGCAAAACGCGGTGAAATTAACATCAGATTCGTCTTCTTTATCACAACCTTTCAGCACATGCGCGGGCGCTCTTCGGAAAGGATTTGAAACAGAAACACAACCTTGTGAAGAAAACACCTCATCTGTAGATATTATCGATACCAACGGGGGTGGGGATGAGGACAGTGATTTTGATCTCCCGACATTCGACTTAATATCCTCTTTAGGAATTTAAATGCATTGGAAAATGTCTGCTCGTAATTGTTTCTTCTGTAAATGTACGCTGGTCGAAATATCATAGGGATCGTTTTTGAAGAAAAAGTATGGTCCTGGGGGGTGCACTCAGTTTCTTTGAAGTCCCATAACTCGGGTTTTACGTGTCGTAGACAGAAACGGTTTTCGCTGTTTTACTCATCTTCTAAAGCTCTTTCAAATGATATAAGTTTGACTTTGAAATTAAAAACTTTATTTAACCCATTTTGGTGACGTCAGCTGTTGTGACGTCATAATTTGACATTTTGCGTCAAACAGAACTTAATATCATTTGGTCAACAATCGCAGTCTATCTGGCGAGTTTCGTCAAGAAATGAAAAGAAATGTAAAAGATACTTAAATTTAGCTTAATAATCCTTTTGAGGGGTGGTTTGGCCCCACCGTGTTTGTTCCATCGTTAGTTGACTTCAAGCCGATTAACATTGCACTGAAGACTTGTGAATGCGTCTATCTCTCCTTTTTTTTTGTTTGATTTATGTATAAAATTCTGGTTCTAAGGCCTGGGCTGACAGTCAAATCTCTCTCAAGGAGCACCTCCCTAAAGCGCACATTTATAGAGTTGATTCCTGCGGTTGTTCAATCATGCATATTATTGGTCTCTCACTAGTATTCGACAGAAACCTCTCAAAGACGGGCACATTACCATTGCCTGTTCCAACGGCGTTTCCTCAGAGAGAACTGACTGCGCACAACTATAAGATTTGGGTGAGCTTATAAAAGGCGGGCAAGACTGTCATGGAGATTCGATACGTCGTGTTATGTTTAGATGTTCAAAAGACTCATTCTTGTTCAACATGAAAGCACAATTAAGATAAAAGTACTGAACTGCAAGGGTGGCACTGCTTTAAGAAGGTATCGGCTGTGTTTTATTGTGTTGTGTGGTTTAATGGATAATTTTCAACATTTTTACGTGACGCGTCCTATTTGGTCTGTGAAAATGAGTGGCCAGTATCCAAAGAAAAGATCGGAGAGTGCGGATTGTATCCGGTGCGCGGGAGTTGAGATGGGGCATGAAGACGAGGGCTCTTGGTTGTGGCCGGTAAGTCCTTTGGTGACTACGCCTTGTCCCGTTCTGGCCCTGTTTTTAAGCAAACTTTCTCTGGCGGTTCAAATGTTAAACTTTTTAAACAAAAGTTAAAGACATACCGATTTCAGCCAGCGTATGATTTGTCTTGATCTTGTAATATTCTAATATTTAGTAATAATTTAGTTATATTTCATTACAAAATTTTATGTTTCAAATTAGCATGGTGTAAAGCGCTTCACAAGAATTTTTGGCGCTGAAGAGAATTTTATGTTTATTTATTATAACCGGAATTTCACAGTAGTCTGTCTTAATTCGGTTGAAAAGGAAAAAGAGGGAGGGATATTGGACTTAAAAGAGAGAAGTGATCTTCCTTGATAAAGGATAATGGCGCTGGAGATGGGTGGTGTTGAAAGGATTCAGTGTTGCAAAATTATCCTAGATATAGACGAATGTGATAAAAAAAGATTTGGAACGAACGCAACTTTTACGAATACAGAAGGATCTTTTAGATGTAGCTGCAATAATGGCTATTATGGAGACGAATTCAACTGCACAGGTATCTCAGTGTTTTATTCCGTTTTCTCGACAGAGATCTTATAAAGTCTCACATTCCCCAGATCAAGCGATTGTGGAAGAGGTGCAATGCCTCGATTAACTACAATTATTTCACCCAGACATCGATGGGTTGGTCCACCTTATTAGGTTTTGGCTACAACTCAACTAATTCAGAGACGCTGAATTGTAACAACAACAACATAACTTTATTGTAAGAATAAACTTAATTAATTACCCTGTCCCGCGGGTAGCAAAAGCTAATCTAGGCGGAACAGAAGAACAACTGAGGGTTAGGGTTTAACTCTTTTAAATAAATATTATTATATAAATAAATTTTTAATTCAGTGATATCATTACATAAAGACAGAGCCAAGGAAACGACAACGTTAGAGCTTCGAGAGAAAAGGCAGTGAAGCTTTGACCTAAACATAATTCTTTAGCCAGTCGAACATTTTTATGATGATAGGTGTTTCTATATAGTCATTATCTTGTACTAAAATATCTAAGAGAAGTCGGCGAACTTCTTTTTTAAATTCCTTCTTGGGTAGATTTCGCAAGCTACACAGTATCTCATTCCACAGATTAATTGTCAAGACCGGCTTTAACAAAATTACATGACCTTGTCACAATCATTCTCCGATCAAGGTTTTCCAAATTAAAATGACTGTAAAATGTTAAGTAAGGTATTCATCAAGAAAATATACGCTCGTGGAGTCTATGTGAGCTTGAAATGCGGGTAAAAATACAAAATACTTAAAAGCGAGTTAAACAAGCAGCAAGTGAGATACAAAAAGCATTTTATTTGTTTCTTTCGCGAAAAGGAGCCTAATAGTCACTCAAGTATACTGCATTCAGAGGGAAAACGTTTACTTTGAATGCTCCGACAGTAAACGCAGGTCTTAAAGGGTTGACAAAATTGTATTACACTAAAACAATAACATGCTAAATAGTTTTCTATCGCGCGTGTGAAAATTTAGAGGTCTTTAACCGCATCATGGATAACACAAATTGATGCGAAAGCTTCGTAATTACTTGTACACTTTCTTTTACTTTGAAGACCACGATTTGTAAAATTGTACTTTGAATGGTACTCCATTCAATAATCAGCCAACATACGGTAATAACACATTAGCAAGGGGGCTTGAGTATGGAAGCAACTACAAAGGGGATTGGTTGATTGGTACCTACGAGAATCGGTCCGGTCCCAATCGATAAGGCTTCGTCCCAATCACATGCCTAGCGGAATGCAAAAAGATGGTCCCCAATTCTCAATGACGTCACCCAGTTTTCAGATTACTGGAAAGTTCCTCACGTTCCTGATTGGAGCAGGCTGCTAGGATTATACAGTTCTAAATATTCGTGCTGAGCTTATTGTTGATGGGGAAGTAGTTCGCAAGGAGACACCGGCAGCGTGTAAAGAAGCTATGACAGAGAAAAGCTGGAATGTAACAGGTTACGCTGGTAAAAATGCCCAGTTGCGTTTGATTGGCCATTACTTAGGCTACTGGGGTCACATCAATTTTGATCACTTACAAGCTTGCCATAAACGTATTTCAGACACGGATTCTTGAGTTCTCTTGGTTAAGTATTAAACTTGAGAAGTTATGTAAGATTAAAAACATAGTACGAACTACTAGTAAATTTCTGTTCCTCTTTTCAAATCCCCCATTACATAAGTTTTTTGATTTAATTTTGCGGTTAGTTAGAATTTATAGTTCTCTTCGTTAATTTTTCTCTATCGTTATATCCATTTTTTAGGGCATTTAGAGTTTGATGTTTTGAATTAACTCAGTGGTATTTTCTTAAACATTCAAACGAAATTGACCGGCCTTATTCTCCTATGAAAAAACAATTGCAATGGGAGTCATTCCTCTCCCCGAACTAAATTACAAACTCAAAACGAAAGGAAGTTAACGGGCAACAGTGGTGTGCAATGATCTTCTACTCGACAATGTTTCGCAGAAATAATTCTGTTCTGGAGCCACGTGATCAGACCCTCGGAGCGAGAGAGAGAGAGAGAGAGAGAGACCCTGGTTAGGGACGAGTAGGAGAGAACCCTGGGAACGAGGTTGATCTCAAATGTCAACCGAATACAGCTGTTTAAAGTATCATCTTTTGCTCTATGTATATGCATGAAAGCCTTCAACTTGTATACGTAGTTTTTTACGTTTTTTTTTTTTTAGCGTCAAAATTAATAACAAAGCCTCTACATGATAAGCATTATCGAGCATTTTAGTGGAAAAAATGGAGCATTAAGGTGGAGCATTTTAGTGGGGAAACAAAAGCATAGTGTACAAAAGCTTAGCTTCCTTCAGGATAACAACGCACCGGCAGGAACGCCTTCCTTTTTGTTTGGTACAATGTGTGTGAGAATATGCCCGCCCAAATCTCCTTCTCTATAAATATCTCAAAGGATAACTAAAATCCTCACTCTGACCTGTTTAGGCATACAAAATCGACCCCAAAAAGAAAACAGAGAAGATTAGTAAAATGATAAAATCAAAAACCTTCTTAATTAATGGTAAGCTAGCGATACCGACATGTGCTTCAATGATTGATTCACACTCTTTTTTGCACAACAAAACATCAAAGAACGCTTAGAAAAAGCTAGAAACTGAAGACACGAAAAAAAAAGCCTCAAAATCTTGCTGAATTCATTTCAATACTTTCTTCTAGTTGCAACTCTCACCCTTACGTTGCAAGTCTTCGTGAGCGTTGCTCAAACTGTTAGTGAGTAAAGTGGAAACACGCCCCAAACTAACGCCAAACATTCTGGTATGGGAACGGAGGTAAGGTTATGGGAGGGGAGGGGAGGCACGGGGTACGGGGCTACGCAATTGGATGACCGGCAAGCTGAGCTTCCTAACAACTCCCATGAACTTCCTCCAATGGTCTTTCGAGACTCTGGACTTGTGTTCAAGTTGAACTATGCTGTTGCGACAAAAGTTGGTCAGTGGTCTCCTTGTCTTTGTCAGAAAACTTGTGCCTTACTAGATCCCATGGACGAAGTGGGGGGGGCGGGGGTGGGACTCAGGAAAAGAGGGATGTAAAGGGCTAATAATGAAATACCGTAAATCCTCTATTAAGTCCCCCGTGTGGCTTATTTATTTAAAGCATGTTTGAGGGGGGGGGGCTTGAGAGAGACGGAGGGCCAGGAGCCCGTGGGAGGGCAGATGGTATCCGTTATCGATCCATAAAGAACTAGAACTATAGTGGTGACACAAGACTAAAAAACTTGCAGTAGAATTCAGCAAACGCAAGATTTAGGACCTGGGGCTACATAACATGTATAGAGGGCAGAGCTCAAGAAAATCGATAGCGTTCTCTATTATACTAGTCAGACGCTTTTTTCCCATTTAACCCATTTATTGACCACATACTTAGTTGAAAATAAGAATTGTCACATGTATTCAAGCTTGTATTCTATGCTCTTGATGTGTAACAGTAATTGTGATCCAGAAAACTATTCAGAATGAACTCAATTGCTTAATTTGAAACTACAACAACAGGGAATTTATGGTTAGTTCTCCCTGATGAATTTTTTCTGATACCTTCTTCATAACTCTACAGGAGCATTTTGTGCAAGGACAAAGGCATTAAGGACTGACTGTAGCACAGTAATGACCTCCGTAGCACTTGAGTTTCCCAAGCGTGTGGTAACCATATTCATATGAAGCGCCTGTATCTCCAAATCTCAGCTGTAAAACTGGAAGGTCAGACTTTTCAGTAAGGAGACCGCTGTCCTCACGCCACACTTGATCATTCTTATCGCAGTTACATCCACGGCTGCTGTCTGCACATGTGTTGTTCACCCCGCATGCGCACTTGTAGAGATCCGCAGGAGTGGCCCCTCCCCAGTATGTCATTTTAACGTTGTCACGTGAGACCCACCATGAATCTGGGTTACCCATCCAGAGGATGGCAGCGTGATGACATTCGTACTTGATAAATTGCTCACAATGTGTAGAGATGTCCACAAGACCAAACAATTGACCATTCCTTGTCAGGCCGGTTCCTGCGTAATGAATATCACGCACATAGCTTCCTGGACTTTCATAGCCCTCGACCCGGGTCCTCTGTTCACTGTCATGACCAACAACTGTCACACCAACTCCGTTCTTGTCTGTCATGTTACAATGAACAGTGAATGGTTCGTAGCCTCCCTCTCCATCGGGGTCGATAACATACGATCCACTTGTAGCTTGTGGATTGTATAGTTTTATTTCACTGCAGGTTTTACCTAATTTGATTTGATAAATGAAAAAACACACACAATTACAATCTCAAAAGTGAATTTTGTAAATACAGTGTACATTGGTATAGTAATCTATTCAACAACATTCATATTCATGCTCAGTTGTATTAATAGAGCGTCTTCACTCACGTGACCAGTATCTATCAAATTTATTGGAACAGAAGAAAGTGTTTTAATAAGAAAAGAGTTCAACTCCCACAGGGCTGGTTTGAAACACCAACATGGCTGCCGTTTTATTGTTTTGGAACGCCAATATGGCCGCCGTGTCGTCATGTGAAAACGCTCTATAAGGCATGGGAAAATGATTGATCAGCGGACTAAGCCAAGCTGGGACATTAATACGACCCACGTGACTTTCTGGGTGGGAGGGTGGGTCGTTTACCCCTGTGTGACTCCGCTGAAAACTGAGCAAGAATAGATGATTTCCAGGCCAAATCAGTATTTATCATCAGGAGTTAACTGTTTGACTAGCCACGTTAAACCTGTTAATTTGGTGTATTTCAACTTCGCGTATCATTGTAAGTGTGGTGAATAGCTTAAGACAAGAAAAGGCATCTGATCATTTCGTCAAGCTTTTCTGCCATTTAAATTGTTTATCACACAAGGAGGGAAGAAAGATAATATTATAGAAAGACTCCAGCGTACATTGACGAGCTGTTAAAGTGCTTCCTACAGTGCTCCTAGTTTTGACCGCCGATTAAAGACTTTTTTAACATCTCGCATTTGGACCGCGCGGTTTGACTGTATGACTTTACGACGTCTTAATCCTTCCGACAGCCATTATTGTTAATGGGCTCCTGATATGCGCCAATACACACATGCGTATCTGAAAAATGTGGAAGTTTAATAAAATAAAATGGAAAAACAAAGCAATGAAGTTAAGCAAAATGCCTTATAATTTAAAAAAATAATTTCCTATGTTACTCCCATTAGCTCCAATCCAGGATTAAATTTTGTTTCATTTTTGTATTTTACCTTCCAATTTATTGCGAGATTAACATTTTGTGTTATCATTACTGTATCTCGGAGTAAAGGCTCGACAGTATTTTGTAAGATCGAGTTGCCTGTTCTTAGGCAAGAAAACCTTACTTAAAATTTGGTTTAATTCTGGGTTAAACGTAACAAACTTTCGTGGGACTGGGTCGCATTTCCCCCCGATTTGGCCACAGATGCGAACACGCAAAGGCAGTGTAGCTCTGGCCCTGAGTAAGGCTAATTTTGTTAGCCGAAATATTGGCCTCAAACAAATCAACCCTTTGCCGTATTGCCAGTCGTGCATTCAGTATAAAGACAAGAAAGAACCAGTCGGTTCTATTTACACGTTGAGTGGACATCTACATTCAAAGGATTTTACTGAAGTGGATTGGGTTCAGTTGGTGTATGTGGTTTATATCATCCCTTTTTACAAAGTTTTTTAGTCGCTTTTTGCAGCCAACGCTTCCAGGAGATAAAACATGTCCACTTCAGTTGCCCACTACGAAAACGTCACTTTAAAAAAGTGAATTCGCGCTGCTTCAAACTTTATCGCTCTTATTCCATCTCGTTCAATTCGTCAATTCTTGGCAAAATGTTTTGGAGTTGAATTCCAAAGGACTGTATCAAAGTTCAGGAAAAGAAAAAGAAAGTTGTTGTCTTGTGTTCCCGGCCTTGATAAATGAGGGGGGCGGGGAGGAACCAGGGTAGGTGGAGTAACTCGCCTGTCCATATTATCTTTCATTTTAATTTGATCACGTTTACATGTTAGGTGGGGTGACCCGCCACATGTTACCTCACCTACCTGGGGTCCCCCACCTACATGTACACAGGCCCTTAGGCGCTTTCATGTTGTAGTCGGGAGGCAACGACGGCAAAGAAATGTACCAAAAGGCGTGATGCACGTGCAAAGCGAGTTGTTGTTTTCCTAATCTATTAAAAACTATTGCTTTTCAGCCGTTCTCGTTGCTGTCGCCGTCATTTCTTGCAGTTTCAAAACGCTTAAAAATTTCTCCATGAAAGTAGCTTCCGCCCCCTCCTCACCCCCTAGCTAGTATGACTACCTGCTGCTGTTTCTTGTTCTCGGGTCTGCTTTTTGTCCTCGGGTCTGTTTTTTGTCCTCGGCCTTACTTTCTTTTCCCAGGCATAACTCACAGCCAGGAGACTAAGAACCACAATAAACAGCAGTTTCATTTTCTAGTCTTCTCTGACGACAGATTGATTTCAAAAGAAACTGAAAAACAAAACGAAGCATGTAATCAAAGTAGAAACTTCTAAAAAGATTGGTGATCAGACGCTCTTGCATCAAACTTAAGTCTGCTGAAGGATTGATGATTTTTGATTTTGTTACACGCAAACCAAAAGAATAAACTAAGGATTTTAGGATTTTTCCCGAGGAAAAAAAGACACCCTTCAAAACATTCTATAATATGTTTCTTTCTCATTTTCGAAAGATAACTTGACAACTTTTCTTCTTTAGACCCATATTGGGAACTTAAGATATAACTGTTCATGTACAAAAGATTTTACATTGCTTTCTATTAAAAAAGAATGTCCGCGGTAAATATCCATGGGGCTGGCTTGTTCAAAGCATTGTAGGTTACAACAACCTAGAGTTAGCGTGAAACTGGATTTTAGATATGAAACATTAAAAAAGCAAATTAAGCTTAATTCGTTTTTCTATAAGTTGAAGATTGGTTGCTCTAAGAAGAATACAGAAATTGTTTTTTCGAGAAAATCCTTTTGAACAACACAAAGACAAACCTGGTTCCCTTAATCGGCCTTTGAACCAACAGGACGCGAAAATAAAGAACAATAAGTTTTACAGACGTGTCCCTAAATTTCTATTTCATTCTTTTCTACCCCCGGAAAGAAACTATAATATTGTGTTAAATAAACGTTACCTGGAACTGGGTGCAAGATCTTTACTCAACTGAACAACATATACACCTCAACACATAAAGAACTCTAGTCAAACATTTCACTTACCGGAGAAGTTAGACCACAGAGGAGAAACAAGCTTGGACTTGTTAAATTCCCCGTTTTTCTCACCTGTATTTATGGGAATTTCGTTATGATTAATTCATAACTGACAACTCTAATAACATGTAGAAACCAAGTTTGCTAAGAGACCCTTAGATTTCAGTAACAATTTTTTTTGAAAATGAACATGATAAAAGGCACGATCTAATTAATTTATTTTGGGAAAGCTATTATTTCGTGGGACCTACCCGTTGAATCTCCATTAATTTTTATAATGGGTATAGAGCAAAAAAATGAATTCATCGTAACATTAACGACCATTAATTGAACTTTGTTGTAATAACTCATTGCTACCAAATGTGAAATATTCTTTGCAGAAACCAATTATTGTTCAAAATTCATTCAACGACCTTCTTTCCTATCGTATGGATTCCATTATAATAACTAAATTTTGAAAAAAGTAATATAAAAGATATAAAACAATTTTGCGACCCTCAGAGTTAAAATACAATTAACACTTACCTTGCCACTTACAATTCATTACCAAACCTCCTGCTGGCCACGGAAAAACAAGCATGTTTCTCAGAAACTATTCGGTTCAAAAAAGAACGTGTTTTTGTCAGAAACTAATTATTCCCTGGATACATGTAAGTTTGAAATTGTATGTGCTAATGGAAAATGAGCAAAACAACTATATCAGAAAACAAATTTAAAATATTAACATTAAATTGCTACGAAAAGACAAGAACGTTGCTCAGAAACTTTTCGGTTCAGAATAGCACGTGTTTTGGTCAGAAACGAATTATTCCCTGGAACGTTTATCTGACAACCTTTTTTCATTAAAGGCATATCAGTCTCAAAGAAATGATTTTAAAACCCTCTTCTAATAATATCTACAGAATAATTTTTCTAAAGAAGCTGTTGGCTTTTAAAAATCGTAGTTATTCCAAATACGGAATTTAGCTACCTGTACGCACGGTACGCACGTGCGTACCTGAAAAAGTCGAGGGTGAAAAAAATAGTAAAAAAAAATTAGGATACGAAAGTGAATAATGAAAAAAGGGTAAGATAGGTTAAACATAGTTATTTTACGTTCACGGTTTGGCTCAATTCATTTAACAATGGACTGTTAGATTTTTAGTTTTACTCCCGAATGTCGGCTTCCAAAAAAGATACGTTATTCATAGATAGACCGAATCTTCAATGATATATTTAGAGAAACAGCGAATTTAGAGAGGCGCAAATAGCCTGAGGCTGGATGGAATACCACGCGAGCAGAAGTTTCTCTCTTGCCGGGCTTGTGCTGTCTCGTAGTTGCTTTGTTTAATCCCCGTGAGAAATTCATTACCAAACCTCTGTAGAAGGCCTAAATGTAATAAACACCTCCTCCAGGCCATGGAAAAACAAGCATGTTTCTCAGAAACTATTCGGTTCAAAAAAGAACGTGTTTTTGTCAGAAACTAATTATTCCCTGGAACGTAACCGTTCAACGTTGAATCTCCTCTTATTATTATAATGGGCATAGCATCAAAGAGATGAATTTAAAACTTCCGATGATTTTTTTTAAAATTAAAGCAGCCCTAATAACGTCTACAGAATAATTTTCGAAAGAAACTATTGGCTTTTAAAAATTTTGGTACTTCAAGTACGGACTTTTCCTAACAAATGGGCCTGCTGCATTATAATATACTTTAGGTACCCGAGTGCAGTTATTTGATTACAAGGGAACATTAAATACCGTAATTGAATTTCGTTGTAATAAGTCATTGCTAAAAAATCTAAAAACTTGTCTAGAACCAAGATGCAAAATGAAATAGTTATTTGACTCGGAAGTGCTTAACCTAAAGTCAGGTTTCCCTTTAGAAATTTAGAAAAAAAAAAAAGAAAAAAAGAAATATATTGCCTGCCAAGTCAATACATTCCTGAAATATTCAAGGGCTGTAAAGATCCCCTAAGTCAAAACAAATAATAACTTGCCACACATTAATTGAAGGATGAGAAAAATTTCTCAAACAAAAGTAAACGTATCCGCAGTTGTTGATCATGGTTGATCTTGATGAACTGTGAGGCTGCAAAAGATTAATAAAGAATTTTGCAGGATACATGTAAGTTTGAAATTGTACGTGCCAATGGAAAACGAGCAAAACAACTATATCAGAAAACAAATTTAAAATATTAACATTAAATTGCTACGAAAAGACAAGAACGTTGCTCAGAAATTTTTCAGTTCAGAAAAGCACGTCTTTTGGTCAGAAAACTAATTATTCCCTGGAACGTTTATCTGACAACCTTTTTTCATTGAAGGCATATCAGTCTCAAAGAAATGAATTTAAAACCCTCCTCTAATAATATCTACAGAATAATAATAATTTATTTTCAATAACAATTTTTTTCGTAGTTATTTCAAATACGGAATTTTCTTAATAAATATATGTTATTCACAGGCTGGGAGGTCCGTATTGGGAGAAACTGTGCCCGAGGTCTTGAGTACCACCTGAGGCCATAGGCCGAGGGCGATACTCAGACCGAGGGCACAGTTTCTCCCAATAAGGACCGACCTAGGCCAGTGAATAACATTTTTATTTTTTTCCCACTGAGACTTGAAAGTTTCAGGAAAAGTTTCCTTCACTCTCCAACCTATGTGTGTTGAAGTAGGACGCGTTTATGTTGATGAAGTGCGCGATCGATTGAAAACCCAAACAAAACATTTCAACATGACTTTTAGCTCAGTATTTTAATATTATGGCACTTACTGATCTCTTTTAGAATAAAAAAAGGTTTTTAGTTCAATCGAGCGGGATGAAATCTGCACAAATGAGCTAATTACAATCGAATATTAGAAGGCGATGTGAGTAACAAGTTATAAACAAAGAATAAAAACGGCGATAACCGACTACTGGAAAAGTGATTCGTGTTGTTTATTTATAATTTTAATGACAGACGTTCCATTTCGGATGAAGTTACCTTTAAGGTGGGGTACAAAGATCAAAGATAACCTGTGGACACAGAACAAGGTAGAGGTCGCATCTTTTACAGGGGTGATAAGGATTTCAGTCTCGAACCATTGTTCAGTTCAAATGTCGACATCTCGCGCAGTTTACGTCCTTGTGAAATCCTTTTTCTTTCAGGGGCTCCTAGCTTGCGTAGCAAGCGTTTCCGTTTGGTTTCCAAGCAAAGAAAGACTGAGGAACGGAATTTTCGGTCGTCCCTCGTTCTTTGCTCCTAAACCGCACGCAAACCCTTTCCATTCAGGCTAAGGGGCTTCCAACGGGTAATTTCGGTAAAATCTCTGTTCGAAAGGAGGGTCGGCCAGAATTTTTGCTCATGCGGCTCTCCATTTTTGCCCTAAAAAGGTCACCTAGAATTTTCGGGAGCCTTTTTTTCTGGCTGAAATTTTCGAAAAGGTAAGTTTTGATCCCTATAATTTTCGGATCACTAGACTTTCAGCTAGGAAATCCGAACAGATGAAAAATTTTTAGGGAATAAAAACATGCCTATATCTACAGTTTAAATGCTAAAATACGTTTAACAATGCAATGTTAAGTGGTTTTGAACTATATTCTCGTTGGGTGCCCCTGTTGTTTTAATTTGTTTTCTTGCTTGCCCCATGGCAAAAGGATGACTGTGCCTTACACATGTTACTCTTTACTAGCTCATTTTGCAAGATGATCAGATTCAAGGATATTGAGTTTTGATGAAAGGAAAAATTTTTTCTATGGTCCCGATTATTTTAAAATCAAATATGCTTTGCATTTCGACGCAAAACAATGGCTATTACTTATTATTAATAATAAAATCAACGTTCACAGTTAAATATTGTCCTTTTGAACTTTCATCACGACAGCAAAATGTCGGCGGAAATTTCCACCGACGTGTGTACTCCAAGTGAGAAAAAATGGTGGAAAAATTGAACGAAATTTTTAGTCTGGTAATAAAATGTCGGTGAAAATTTTCGTCGACTTTTTGAGTTTGCTGGGAAAATGTCGACGAAAATTTTCCAAACCACGTTTTACAGATAGTAAAATGTCGATGAAAATTTTCGTCGACGTTGAAGTTCAAGATGTCGAATTCCTATAGTTTTGCAACACAAAACTATACCTTGTCAAACTTTTTGCCAGCCTGTTTTGAAGTATGGTAAAAGCAGAGTTTTTTTGCCCTATATCTCTATTATCTCATCGTGTTCAATACAGGAGAGAGCAAGTTAATGACAATCTTTTCCAAAACACTTTAAGAATGAAAACATTTGCCTCATTCAGCTCAAATTTTCCAGGGAGGGATAATATTTGGTAAAATATTCAATTATTTGCGAGTTTTTATCGTTTTAGAATATCGCGTTTTGTTTTAGAACGTGTCAGTAATAAGCTTTTCATGCACAAACAAATATTAACAGAGTGCTTTTTGAGAGTGGCACATCTTGTCTCCAAACTTGATGTCCCTCGGAAAACACTTATCTCATGGACATTTCGACCTTTTTACTAATTTAACTTAGAAAACTCAATCATTTTATGTTGACACCAGCTTTTAAGAGTAGGAAGCCTCCGTTCCAATTGCAACCTACGCTTAATCATTAAAAAAATATATTAGCCACGCAAGCAAATAAATAGAGAACTGCTGAGAAATAGGTGTTGTGAAGTATTTTGAAAGTTATTTTTAAGACGAATCTATCTTATCTTTTAAGTTTTGTTTTTTAAGTCTTGTTTTTGCCCACGTACTGTTTTCCTAATTTGATCTTTTGTGTTTACTTGTAGTTAAATTTATGCTCAGCTCGCGAATTTACTTGTTGCCATAATAGGAATGTTATTCGCTTGGCATTGTCCGGTTTTTTTAGAGGTGGTCGTGTTTGTGGTGTTCTGACCTTTGTTCTTTGGTACTTACCAGTTGCGGCTGTGCGTAGGCTAGTCTATTCCCTAACAATGGCAAACCTGTTGCAATGTTAGCGATAAGATATACAATAGAAACTCTTCCGGTCAGCTAACCCAAACATGTCCAGCTTTGGCTAAATTAAAACCGCTACCATACTTCAACTAGTTAGTAGGAGAAGTAGAGATTAGTGGAGAAGTTGGTAGAACTGAGAAAGTTGCTTAGTAAGTAGAAGTTGTAAGAAGATTAAGAAGAATAAAGGCCAAGATGTAAATCAGATTCCTGGTACCTCATCGTGTAGCAAGCAAGTTGCTCGAACACACCCCCACATAGGTTTTGGGGGGAGACTCGGAATGGTCAAGGTGTAAGGACTGTTTTTTTGGTGCTCCGCCATTTGGCGTGTTAATCCTTGCAATTTGATGCCTCCGAAAAGGAAAGACAGGCCCACATCGTCTTCCTTGGACGCCGTTTCGCCCGAAGAGGAAAAAAGCAGAGAAGCCAATCCATTTACGAGTGAAAGTGAAACAGGTGTACCAAGCGAAATTGTTAACATTAAGTCCGCAGATCATTTCAAAAAATTCTTATTAGAGTATTTTAGTCAATGATGAATTTTAATATTGCATGATGATCGATGCTGTGGACTTTCTTTTTTTATTTTATTACTTTTAATTTTATATCATTTTATTTAGGCGTCTTGCGTCTTGCGTGATGGTAACCCCGTTACAGGACCATAAATTTTTGAATAAAGGTTGTATAAAGGGGACGAGGTACTAACAGCGCTATCAATGGCGGACGGTCTTAGGAAAAAAGTGGACATGATATGAAGCAAATTAAGAAAGCTAGACAGCATTCTGACAGAAACGCGTCTACATAATCTGCACAGATCAATGGCATCTCTCGAACAATCTTTTACCGTTATGGAGAAAGACGTACAGAACCTGAAAGATAAGACGGGGAAAACGAACACGAAGGTAAACGATCTTGAAAAAAGTGTTGAGTTCCATGATCAGGACATTAGCGATTTACAAAAGATCTTAAAAAAGTTCAGCATGAAGCCGACGAGCTCAAAATGCAACTCTTATACCAGGGACATTACAGTAGAAGGGAGAATCTCATGTTTGTTAGAAACGAAGAAAATGGTACACCGTTCGACGACGTGGAAAATACAAAGGAAGTGACTTATGATTTTCTGCAAAGAGAGCTTAGCTTTGAGAATGCCCAAAGTAGATTCGAATTTCAGCGGATTCACCGAGTGGGAAAAAGAACAGGTAAGAAGCCCTGTCCTATTATCGTAAGATTTCTCCGATATTCCGATCGGGAAGACGTCCTACCGCGTGCAAAAACATCACTCGAAGGGAAAGATTACGGTGTTTTTGAGGAAATGCCGAAGGAACTTTATCAACTAAGAAACGCCCAAATGAAGAAACTTCAAAACGCAAAACATCATCAAGGCAGCACAGCCTATTTCAGCAGGAAGTATCCGGAAAAATTATTTATAGACGGTAACTACATTCCTCGAAATTGATTTAATATTGATTTTCTTTCTTTCTTCCAACATGCATGTGAGCTGATATGGAATTTTTTCCCTTCATACGGCAATATGTTATATTCTGGTAAGGCCTAGTGTCACCCAGTGCGCGTCTTTTTACAATAGGGTTACACCTTTAATTTTCTTTAGTCATTGTTGTCGGCACTTTGTTAGAGAGGTAAAATTACCTCGTTGAACATTTTTGGATTTAAAACTCAAGGGTATAGTTGATGGGAAAATAGAAAGTCGGGGTAATTGTTTTGGTCACGTGGTACAAATTCACGTTTGCTGTTTGCCGTAAACGTGATGCTCAGTCGAGACCTTTAGCATTTGGTTTTTCATGGGAAACCGCAAACTGCAGTTTGCAGTTATGCGTTTACAGTATCACGTTGCTGGGATTTCATAATTTTTTTCAAGGTGTTCCTTGTTTAGTTCCGCCATGTTGTTTTTCGTCAAGTCAAACTGCATCACTTTTATGGCCAAAAAACTAGGGATAATTCGCTTTTTCGAGTTCAAAAATCCAACAAGCACATCGTTGACGGATAAAGAGAGCTACTTCTGCTTTTAAACGTAAGGCTGTACAATTTTTCGTAGCAAAAAACCTTGTCGTAAGTCACTTACGGCTGGATGCCCTTCCTGCCGTTCAACGTAAACTGCAAACTGCCTTTTTCGCTGCTGCTACCTTGAAAGGGATTACAAAATGATTTTAGGTCAAAATCTGGAATTTTCTAAAAATTTGGAGTAACGTCGAAATAGATCCGAAATGATGCCTACAATAAGTATGTTTCAGGTCGCTGAAAAAGTCCAAAAAGAGGACTAACTTTCGATTTTGGGTGTGGTTTTTGGGGGTTTTGACAGGGTCAACCGATGTTTTGGCGGGAACTCTAGTGCCGCGAGGATTCTGGGAACGAGAACCCATTGTTGTGCAATGGAAGCCATGATCATCGACGGCAAAATGAGGAGAAAATGCTAAAGTTTGTGGTCAAAACTTCCTGAAAATGGACTACTCTATAACTGCTACCAGTGGTAATGTTACGTTCCTCGCTCTGTGGCATTTTTGAGCAAAATCATTCATCGGCATGGCTGCAAATCACTGGAATCTTGACGACGTTTTACGCTGTGTACAGCCACGTCCTGGCTTTAAAGTTTAAAGGATTCGGATTTATGCTTACAGGTAAGCTTTTATTTATTTCCCCTTATTTATAAAGAAAATCTTGAGTTATCTTGCTCTCAGAAGAGTATTCCTTGTCTGAAAGTTTAGTCTCAGTAAACATGGAATGTTTGTTTTCGTAATTAATTCAGTTGGTAAGTGCCAGGCCAAGAGGTGCTGGAACCCTTAGTCACTTTAACAAAGGCTATGTAAACTTATGTATGTATGGTATATGGATGTAAATTAATGCTTGAAGCGGGTAATTTAAAGTGAAATTGTTACAAGCTTTAAACTCCTGAACTTTCATCAATCTTAAATTTGATGTTTTTTGCAATATTTCTGTTTGTATGGAATTTCCAGGACAACACATTCATAAGCTGAATATTACAGTCATATCGTCATGTACAAATGTATGCTCATATCTGATCACCTGCTACATTTAACAATAACTCTTATGCTTCTTTCATGCTCTCCGAACTTCCCGCATACTCAGTATCTTGACATATATACACTGATGAATGCACTGATTATTAGTGCATGCATCAGTGTATATTCAACAATTATTCTTTGAAATCGAGGTGAGTAGTGGCTGAATATTTACCAAACTGCGAAAGTGGCGAGGTAAATATTCCCAAAGCCACTATTCTCCGAGATTGAAAAGAATAATCGTTTTAGTATATACACAAGAAGTGATCTCAACAAAATCAGAGAGGAAACCATTAAAAAGTACGATTTGATTGACAGATTAAATCACGCGTATGTTTAAAAATAGATCTATGCAGAATTTTTAAACATGGCAATTCACAAGTTTATCGCGTCGCAAGCAAGAGTGTAATGGTTAAATGAAACCGTTAAAAGTTTGAATTGTCTCCTTACCTAAGAAGAAAAGTAGGGCTTTGTTGTTTTCTGTTGACTCGCCGAGTTTATAGCCAAAAAGGTTTTTTGTGTCGTTCTTCGCGTTAAGTGCTGACAAACATGGCGGCTCGGTTTCTCAGGGAAAGACGTCGTCTTCTTGTAGCATTCTTTTCCTATTTACTTGCAACTTAGAATTTCTGCAAACATTTGCTTTCAAATTTACATGTGTTTGTCATAAATAAACTTCGATTTCTGGGCCAAATGTTTCTTGTTAGAAAACGGTGAGTTCACGAAATGGCTTCTTCTACGCGAATAAACAGGAGTTGTAAACAATCTATCAAGCACAAAACTCAGCTACAGTAAATGGAAAAACGCCATTTTGAAACCTTTGAAGTCGTTTCTTGCCTTAAAAAAAGTCAACCCTAGGATTTTGTCGTCTTTTAAAAGATCATTCTCTAAAAAAATGGGAAAAACACCGAGCCCACACATTATCCGCTCGCTAGGAGGTGAATATTGTTGAATAGTTCGAGATAGCAAACCAATCAGATTGCTTAAATCACCAAGATCACTTAGTGTGTATATACTAAATGTCAAGATAATGAGTACGCAGGAAGTGTGGAGAGCATGAAAGAGGCATAAGAGTTATGCTAAGAGCAACTTCATCCTCTTGAGTGCTCTCTAAACTTCCCAAGTGCTCAATATCTCGACAAACACATGCCTGAAGCATCTACTAATTGTTTTATAACATTATCAAAGTGACCTATGTAGCAGTTAATATGTAATATGATCTCTGTAACTGCCTTTATCAGTTTTATACACACTTACAACATAAGCATGAAAGTGAGGCATAAGAGCCACCACATTTCCCGCAAACTTCAAACAAAGTAAACAGGGTGATGAAAACAAGAATGATTTCAACACAAGACATTTATTGCCATATAATATTGTGTACAAGTTTTTGGGACACAGTTAACCAAAAATACTACCAATTAATTCTATTAATTTGGTGTGCCACGACTAGTATTTTTGCTAAATCAGTGATAAAGAGAAGTATAGTGTTTTCGTTGCCTGGAAGTGTGGTGAGGTTGTGAGTGTCACAAAACATCAATATTGGCGTTGTGCGGAGCTGTAGGTGCGATGAGTAGTGGATGTTAGACCCTGATGGAAATAAAGAATGATCTTTTAAACAATACTTGAAGCTTGCTAAGTCCAAGAAAGGTACTGGGGTGAATAAGGCCGCCACATAAAGAACCAGTTCTTGAAATTGGCCCACCTGCAATTGAGATAAAGCAACAGCAGGTGAGTTTTTGAGCCTGGGTATGTGCACTGCAGCAATAACTATATTAAATTTGCAACAAACATAGAAAAGACAGTGAATTAGCGACATTATATGATGACATCGGCTGGTGCCAGAATTGAGAATGTGAACAACAGACTGATTGTTGCAATGAAAAATAATCTTGCGGGATTGTAAAAACATGGACCATATTGTCACAGCAACCTTGATAGCAAATAGTTCTTTAAATGTAATAGAGCGCCGTGCAGGAATGCCAACGTAGTTGAAGGACGCAGAAAGCCATGAATGATCAAACAGACCGCCAAATGAGGTGTTACAGGCATGGGTGTACAAATGTACACATGCACTTGTAAGCCACTGTTCATCGTGCAGTGTTGTAGAAGAAACTGCAGCCGTTCCAAGCTAATTGTAAGAATTTTAACCACCAACAAATGTCTTTAAGGGAGCACTTGGTTAAGCGGATGTGATGACTAGGGTGACGCGCTGAATCCAACAAATCAATCAGTCGCCATAAAAATGTTCTCCCTGGGCGGCAAACGGTTCCCCTATAAGCGATTGGAGTTGTCGCTTCGTGCATGATTTGCAAGAGTGCCAATTCAGGAGTAAATCAATGATTTCCTGAAGGTGAGACTCACAATCCCTAACAGTTCAAGACAAGTGCAAGGACCCATAGTCTTGGATGGGTTAGTGGTAAAGCCTGGGTCACTACAGGCATGAAGCATGGTCTGAAGATTACTCGAACACACTGGATCAGGCGCCGGGGGGTCCACATGTCAAGAAATTATCCAAGTACAATGTAATGCCACACAGGAAAAACACTGCAAGAATACATGATATCGGCTAAGGAATAGGCGAATTTTAGGAATAATGAGGGCAAAGAGGGCAAGCCGAACGGAAGATAAGCATCTACAAAATACGCAGTAGTTATGGAGTTGTCAATTTCAATAGGCCATTAAGAGCCTAAGAGTTGCCAGTCAGCAGGGTGAACTAAGATGTGACGGAATGCGTCCAATAAGTCAAGTTTACTCATCAAAGCACCTTGACCGAAACTCTTAAGAGGAGCAATGGCAGTATCGAGGGTGTCGTAGGTGCAGGAAAATAAATCCTTAGGAATGGAATCATTGATTGAGTGACCCGCGGGCCACCAAAGATCGTGAATGATACACCATTTAACGGGTTTCGAGCGCTTTTTGGGAATAGCGCCCATCGGTGATCTGACAAATTTTTCGACGGAAGGGGTGAGAAATGGACCGATCTTGCCTCCAAAACCAAGCTCGCGTTCAAGTTCTAGTGCAGTGGATGTAATATTCCATATGGCCGATAAATGGTCGGGCGAAATGCGGGAAGTTCTGGGGTCAGTGTACCCGATACGCTCGCGATGTTCGATATCATTGATTAAATCGTCAATAAATGAGAGATCAAAGAAATCATGCAGGGAAGTCCTCCAAGTGGAAGGGTTAAATGGAGAGTTAAGAACTGGAAGTGAGTTTGCAGTCGGCCAATTGCGTGGTCCCTCCGACAAGCCTTACAAACATGGGCTCGTTTACAGTCTTTTCCTTGTTAACATGCTTTTTGCGTGTACAAATTGCATCCTTCGAGGCTGTTTTGGAACCACTTTGCAAATTTCCATTGAGACATTGCTGAGGTGCTCGCTTTCGACAACTCTTTACTCTCCAGCGTTTGTTACGTACGAAAGGAACAATCTCATACCAGATGATGGTCCGACTTACAATGTTGGCAGGAGGTGCCCTCTGCACGAACTGCAGAGGAATCGAGGATAGTGGTGTATAGGGTGGAATCAATTTGGTCAAGCCGTTTAGTCGTGCCGGACAGACTCATTTGAAATTAAAGGTCAAAATCGTAAACTGCCTTCCAGCGAAATTTCCAGTTAGCCTTTTGGATAATGCAGCGATATTGAGCAAGCTCCGCATTGCTGGATTTGTTAAGTATGTTTTTTCGTGCGCGGACCAAGCTTCGAGCCAATGGTCAAAAGATTCAATAGTTGCCGGCTTTTTATTGTTGGTCTCATCGCCTGTAGTAGTGGCTGGTGGGGGCGATAGAGTGATTAAATCTACGTATATCAGGGCTTCTGATAATTCGCAGAAAAAAAAGTCAAATTTCGCTGGATTTTTGGGGACAAAATCGCGGAAAAATCGGTCGATTTGGCGGGAATTCTCAGGGTAAACTTGGCCGGAAAGCAATCGGTAAACAAACGGCAGATTTTGTGGTTATTTTCAGGGCAAATTTCGCAAGAAATCGATCGGTTTTGCGCTGATCAGATCAGCGTTTTTAATGTTTTTCTAACAGAGGACATCATTTGCTCTTTCAACAACAATACACTCTAGAAATGAACCAATGGCAAAGCCTTTAACATCATGGCTAGTGCCCAGTTTTTCGCAACATAATCTACGCCTGGTAGTTTCGGAATGTTGTTCATAAATTTGCGAGCTTACGGCAAGTAGATACCCCCAGTAGCTGAGACAAGTTTCAAAATTGCTGTACAGACATGCATTTGATAAGATTTCTACCGAATTTTGCGATATTTTGCGTGTTTTTGTGAATTTCGCAGGATTTCGCGGATTTACCTGAATTTCGTGGCTCCGTGACTGCGCGAAACATCAGAAGCCTTGGTATATGTATTTATTCATTATTACCTGATGGAAGTGTGATGCCGGGCGTTGTTGCAGCGAGAGGACTCGCGAGATCCCTTGCCCAGATGTGTAATTTCGTCTTTGAGAGCAGTCCGTTCCGGCAGTATTTTGCCTATCTCAGTGGTTAGAGAGCAATCTAACTGCTTGTAGTAGTTCAGCAGTTGGTTGGACAGGGTTGCATTGTGCACTAATCGGAGACACTTTAGCGGTGTCAATGGCTTCAGCGCCGTCCTCACTTTCCTTTCTACCTGGCCTGGTGCAGAACTTATTCAACAGGCCAAAATGGGCAGGAGCAGCTAATTTGCTACCAGGACAGAGACGCTTGCGAGAGTTCTTTTTAGAGGACATAATAACAAACAAGACGACCAGCATGGATGTGATCTATGTAAAGCAATTGATACAAAATGCATGACTGAAACCAGATCCTATCGTGCCACTCCGATTAACCTATCTTAATTACATTAACATCACCAAAACAGATATTACCTGATAATAAGTGAAAAGCAAAGAGAAAAGAAAAGAAAAAATATGTGTAATAAAGTCAAAAGCAAGAAAGACAAATTTGTTCAATGCAACGGTGAAAGAAGCTAAGGTTAAGGATTTTGCAATTTTATTTCTTGCGTTATCATGGTTTCATCAAGGTAATCATAAAAAATTGTCTTTTGATATTTCAAAGAGCACACTGATTAATTTTCGCTGAAGCATTTTTTTACATACATTGTATCTCTTAGTGGTATCTCATTCCATAATTTTTATAAAAATTGGATCGGATTGTCTTAGTTTTTCAAGATTAAATTTTTCGATGTAAAAATTATATTTGGAGGATGATCTTGTGTCATAAGCATGAATAGATGATGTCTATGGAGCGGTATAAGGTCAAAAATAACTCGATGTCTATTTTCTATGCTGCCTTGTCTACTTGTTCTGTTGTCTTGCCGATTTGTCATGATGTGGTCTTGTCCACTTGGTCTGTCATCTTGCCTATTTGTCCTGTCGTCTTGTCTACTTGTTCTGTTGACTTGCCGATTTGTCATGTTGTCTTGTCCACTTGGTCTGTCGTCTTGCTGATTTGTTACTGTGTCATCTTGTCGCATTACGGAATGGCGCCTATAGATCTGCGTTGCCTGCATAAACGCAGGCCCAATGGCTATTTGTGCACTCACCAAGGATGCCAACGCATGTTGGTCCTTTGATTCAAGACTGAAGTGTTAGCGTGTTGTTTCCATGATGCAAAGGTAATTTTATTAACTTAAGCAAAAAATCAATGGATCAAAGCTTTTCACACTACTCTCTGTTTTATTAGGAAATGCAATTGCTCAACTTTATAATTATGTTGACTTAATAACATTTTTTAACGATTAAAGCCAGCAGAATGTATAGAATGCCAGAAACACAAACGGGACGTGCAATGGTTTCGAACTTTGCTTGGAGTTGTTTTTTTTATCAGTATGCAAATCACCTGCCCTGTCGCTTACTTTGCATCAAACGGAAATATGACTTTTTTAACACTTTTCGATTTGTTTCCTCTCATTTTATATTATTTTTGTGCTAGCTGAATTCTTTTATATGCCATGGCGATTCATATCTATTTTGCTTCCCTTACACTTATGCAAATTACCCTTCATCTGGCAGATTTCACTGGAGACAAAAATGTCACCTTCGATTTCTCAGATGCTTGCCTCTTTGGGCACCCTTTTTATTTGACTATCAAGATTTTATAAGCTTAGCTTCAGACTTTTCATTTCAACATTTTAATGCGGAAAAAATTCTGTAACTGATTAAGTTATGCAACACCCTTTAAGAGCACATAACTTGATCTTCCTGATACCTTTTGTTCTTCTATTATCTCCATAATAATAAAGATGTTTCACCAATTTCCATCAACAAATAATAGAGACATTTGATTGACAGACAAATTTGCATTTACCAGCAAATGTTTCTATAGGTCGAGATTCCATAATGCTATTTGTCATGTAATCTTGTCTACTCATCATGTCGTCTTGTCGCTTGTGGTGTTGTCTTGTCTACTTGTCATGTCATGTTTCAGGCATATCCTATTAAAAAAAGCTGAACTGGACTCTGGACTCTGGACTCTGGACCCTGGTCTCAGGACCTCCCTCCTAAACAAAAAAATGTAAAAAATTACTCCAAATTACCCTCTCCTGCCACCTTTTAAAATTTTGTAGGAAAAGAAACAGAAATAATGTTTTTGTGGTCGAACACGCATGAACATGAGGGACATAGACAGGTCTAAAAAGCATTTACCCCATATAGCGAGGTTTTACCGGTTCTTATTTACACCAGGTTGAAGAAAGACAAAAAAAATCTTTGTACAAGTTTCCGGTCCTGTAGCATGTTTCTTTTCGAAATACGGCAATTTGAACTTCTGAGTTTTCACAGTGCATGACACCATAATATAGGAATGCTGTCTCGTTGAGAAAAGTCTCTCCTCTTGATTTTCAGCAGTATAACCATTTCAAGTTTTAGAAGGTATGTTTATACACACGTATGCTAGTTCTCGAGTGAAAAGAAATAACTTTTATAGAAAAAATGAACTCCGGATGTTTTTGTTGATTTCCTGCGGCCATATTAGTGCACCAAAGCGGTACACCAATATGGCGTCTCCATACAAAGCTCTACAAAGTTGCGTGAAACATTTTGGCAAACAACTCAGAAACTGTGGGCCACAAAGACCTGAGACTTGGACAAATTGTTTGTATACATGCATTAGTCTTTTATAACATTTCATTTTCTTGACTTCTTCCACTGAACAGTTCCCAATTTATTATTTTTTTTGCAAACTTAGGAGTTTGAACTTATTTAAAACATTTAATACATTTTTTCGACTTCTTTTAGTCCCTGATCCATGAACAGCCTTAAAAAACATAGTTTCTTGTTTCCTTTTTGTTTACTAAAAAATTGGGGGGATTGTTTATCTTGTGGTGGGAGGGGGGGAATGTCTATGTCCCCATAAAACGTTATTCTCTTTTCTCTTTCTTTTTGATACAAAATTTTAAAAGGTGGCAGGGAGGGTGATTTTGGAGTTATTTTTTCAGGGTAATTTTTTTTTGGTGGGGGGAGGTCCTGAGTCCAGGGTCAAGAGTCCAGTGCACCGTCCAGTCCAGGTTTAGGATATTCCCAAAAGATGACATGACAAGTAGACAAGGCGACACGACAGAACAAGGCGACACGACAGAACAAGGCGACACGACAAGGAGACAAATCTGTTCTGGTATTTTCAAATTAATCCTCATGATACTTATACAAGAACACCCAACAGAGTATGACGTCCAGAAAACTTTAAAACTGCACAAAAATTAATATTAATTAAAATCGAGTAGTTGTATGTGAAGACATGCAAATAAAATTAGGCAAAGAATGGCAATCGATTTGTGCGATTTAGTGAACATTTTAGACAAAATTGTCCTCTCAAAACACTAGAAATAGCTTTTCAGAGCTTTTCTGATTTCAAAATTTTTGTGGGGGAAAAAACCCCAGACCAGCCAAGTGGCTACCTAATCGGCGCTTCTGTGATTCGTTGGTGCCGGATTGAAAAATATCCCCATTCTGCATATTTAAAAAGTTGGACAGTCTGATTTCATCAGTAAAGAGGTGGTTTGGTAGATTGTTCCAGTCTTTGATGATTTTCACAAGAAGGAGTACTTAAGGGAGTTAACTTTAACTGATTTCGTTTGCATCTTGTATGGATGGTTGGCTCTAGTGTTTTCACTTTTACGGTCCTCAAAGTAGCCATTAAAGTCTAGGCCATTTAGTCTTAACACTGTCTTGTAGCATTCCACAAGAGACAGGCATTCTCTTCAATGTTGAAGTGTGTTTCAGTGAAGAGATAAACATTGTTCTTTGCATGAAATCATGCTTGGTCTTTTCTCAATGCTCCTATTGTTGGGACGATCATTACGAGGCACAGCAGCACAGCATTTGTAAGAACTATTTTTGCCGTAGTTGTAGTGTGCGCTTCTACCACTTTATACAGTTTAATTGTGATGTAACTCTTAGGCTTCACTTTCATGCTTGCATTGTAAGTGTGTATTGTGTGCACACAAGCCTGCTCCCTCTTTGAAACACATTGCTATTTCAATTTGCCTATTCCATTTGTAATTTAGTGCTTTCTGATGAAATTTGTTTGATGTATTCTTCTTTACTCTTCGGGTTCTGGTTCCTGAAAGCCTGATTAGTGATAACCCAGGATTAAAATTTTGTTCCACTTTTTGTATTTACCTCCCTATGCATTGTTTAGAGAAACAATTTGTGTTACCATTACTGTATCTCAGAGTGAAGGCTCAACAGTATTTTGTAAGCTTGAGTTACATGGTCATAGACAAGAAAAATGCTTAAAATTTGGCTTAATCTTGGGTTAAATTTGCAATGTAACCTTCTTTCGAGGAACCGGGCCCATGAGCATAATGAGATAAGCAGAGAATTGACCTAAAACCAAAATGTTTGTGACATTCAGTGTCCTTAAAGTATTTTTAATAGTTAATTAGGAGCTTTTTTGCACCATTTTTCCTCACTGTTATATTTTGTCCATTTTTATAGGCTTTTGGCATTTATAGTTCCTTCATGTTTAAAGTGGTGAGGTTTGCGTGAAAACATGGTACACTGAGAGGAGATATCTCAGGTTAGTATTACAGTTTTACTGTAAAAGAATGATTATTAACTTTAAAATGCATCTGATCTGTACCTTAATGGAAACCATCAGAGGACATCTGGCAACCTGTCTTGCTACAATGACTGTACAGAATAAAGTCACCATAATTATTATAGTGACTTTATTGCCAACGAGCAGCCTCGCGAGGCTGCAAGGAGGCAGCTAATAGAGCCGTGCGTGATTGTTCCAGGGGCAGAAAAAATCTTAAATCGATGTAACATAGAGTAATGGAAGGCAACCATGACATAATGCAGGACAGAGAATGCATTGCTTTCGAGCGAACACGTGATACAGATCAGAGAATCCATGAGTCATGTGCGTGTTTGTGAGTCCCGTGCTCATCCCGTCTTCAACCAATCGTCGGGTGGATCATTTTCATCCTACGTGATTTCTGTCACATTTGCCCGCTGGAATTTTTTATTGCATACAGCTAAGAAAAATAATAACACGGCAAAATTTTTTGTGTCTTTGAAAAAAAATAATTCGGAAGGCTTCATTGGCTCACCATAAATTTTGTTAGCTTTAAAAAGATACCAAATACAAGTCTCTACGTTGAATATTTGCGGACTTAAATATGATTTTTCGAGGATTTTAAGTTTGCTTATCAGACCACTAAATTTTACGTAAGTGACTTGTCCACAACTTCAGACAAATACACGAACTTCAATATCTCGAAAAATTTGCTGCATAAAGTCGGGATTTCAAATTCTTTATGTAGTAGAACAGTTTAGTTCACTATTTTCAAACGACAAGTTAAAGCAAGGGGCACACATACACCAAACCCTTGATCTGCCTTCCCCGCGCATGTCGTGGTATGGCTGCTGTGCGGTTCCCAGCCAACAGCTCCCACATGTGTTGTGTGGAACTGGCACTTAAAGGACTCGCCGCTGCAGTAAAGGGTCTTTGTACACAGGTGTCCCCGGTCACTGACCGATGGCCATGCCATGCTGTTGAGCCCCAGTATGAGCAAAACCGCTGCCCATGGCTGCCCTGCACCAGCGTGATATGGCTGTGCGCATGCATGAGGTAATGGCTAGGCCATGGGTTGGTGTATGTGTGTCCCTTGCTTTGATTTACTGGTAATTCGTGATCCACCTTCCCCACGCATGTCGTGGTGGAACTGCTGTGCGGTTCCCAGCCAACAGCTCCCACGTGTGTTTTGTAGAGCTGGCGCTTGATAGACTGCTTTTCGGCAGTAAGAGGTTTTTGAGACGCAGGTTTTCCCTGTTGATTAACTCAACGGCTGTGCCACGCTGGTGGGCCCCAATAAGGGCCAAAAAGGTGTCTGTGGCTGCCACTGCCCCTGAAATCTTTGTTCACTGGCACTTAGCGATAGCTATAACTAGTAATTAAATTAATATAGAAACCACTAGGAGAAACTGCATGATGAGTAATTGATTACCCTGGGCTGTTTTGTTTTGAAGA